ATACATACGTAATATAGACTGCAGTCATAAACAACATATTTGTCTCTATTTCACAACATCTACACCATGTGCAGTATCGCTCATTTCAAAATCCCTACTTAAAAGCCACTAACTGTATTTCTCTGAATTTTCATAGATACTTATAGACTCAAAGCAAGGCATATGTAATCGAGAACTATAAATGAGTGTGCAGTGACGTATAGCCGTGAATTAGTATTTTTTCAACAATCCTAATCATTGGAGTAACTACTTGATATTTTAATTAGCATGTATGCATTTATGACAGCTCATACACCAGAACTGACAATTGACGTATCGAAAACTAGCAGTTAACTGAGAGTTTACTTCATCAAACGACGATTGTTTATCATTTTCACAGGTCTCGTGTGAGTTTTGATACACCACCTATCACTTTTAGAGCCGGTTTATCAATCGCCAGCTAACCTCATTTGACTAATGGTTTTGTCTTAGCTCCTAGTCAAACAGTTTTTCGTTATCATGTTAGCATCAACTGGTAGCTGAAGTCTCAGTGACCGTAACAGTCGCTAGAAAGTGATAGTTTTTTTATTTAAGCTGACAGTTATGTCACAGAATATCAGTTCCGATATTCTGTGGTTATGTGGTCGCGCATGCGAAATTAGGTTATTTATGTTTTTTGTGATAATTTGAGAAATACTTTTTGCAAGTAAAGGGTTAATTACTATAATTGTTTGATTAAAGAAGTTTTCCATTTGTTGAATGGTGAAGATGAGGATATATTGGAGTTCAAAGAAGACCTTACATTGTTAATGAACGTAATGATGCTTTCAAAGAATTAGATGAGGTAGACACTTACAGGTCCTGATGTAAAGGAATTAAAATTAAATTCAACTCTTTTCCAGGCCTCTTCTTTCTTCTTCCATGTGATGGCATCAGTTTTTTTTATTCTCAATGATAAATTTATAGGAATTGGCAATTTTTATTAGGAGTGATCTGTCTGTTTCGGTAAAATTGGATGTTCTTTTATTGCTCATTTTCGTTTTTCATATGCCCTCTCAACTCATATAAGTTATTATGTATAACTCATGAACTTTTTGTTAGCAGTTGTCATTTTTGAAAATCAATCCTCCAATAAAAACAAGCCCCTGAAATATTCACTTATGCCAACCTTAGTTAACTAACAGTTATTAAACATTAGCATCAGTCAAGGTATGATTCCACTTCCACTTGTTAGGTACATTGTTATTTTTTTCCACAAAAATGTCCATTGGAAAATGTACAATTCAGCAGCTTATAACTGTCATTTCCTAATTGTTAATTGTTACTAATCAATCGTGCATGAATTCACTTTCACAAAAATTGTATATCTGTTTTTTTCGGACAGCTCAATGGAGTATCTCTCTGCCTCTGTATATTCGAAAAAGCAATTTGTCTCAATTTTATGTCGTTCAGGAAGGAAAGGTGCAGTAAACACGTAAAATTGCTTGGAAAATAGTTTGCACGTGCAGGCGAACAGTTATTTCAGAAGATGAAACTGTAAAAAGGGGCGGTAGTGTTTCCAGTGGACTGAAACGAGTTTAATAGTTTGAAAAATGATAAAGGACTGAAGGGACGCGATATCAGGTTTGAGCTGGAACTGTCACGAGTTGTTCATTATATTTCTATGACATACACGTAGGTGGACTGTTAAAAAAAATGAGGTAAATGTTGAAGTTTCTACAATTTTTGTATAGAGATGAAGAAGTACAAAGCCATTATTATCAGTTAGTTGTACTGTTTCTTTTTCACGATATCAAGTTTTCACATTGACAGCTGGTTAACGAAAAAACAGATTTTTTTTTAAACAGATATGTATTACAAAAATAAATTCTTTCTGAGATCAAAATCAAGATCAGCAATTTCCTCTCAGAAACGTGTTGTTTTCAGTATTTATATTTTTCTGATACAAAGAATATTTTCTGTAATTATTATCTGAATTTCAAGCAAACTCATTATTAATCATATATTCAATTGAAATGGTATATCTTTTTCGGAAGCTTTCATAAATATACGAAGTTTTCCATATTTTTGTTTTTATCATCACCCAACTGATTCAATTATGTGCGCCACTGTCGGTGGAGGGGAAGTCACAGTCTATCGCAGGTCTAGTCTAACCCCTTAACCCGCATGCCGTCGAATCTAGTGACTTCAACCCAATGTGTAGTTAAAATTGGTTTGCTGAGTCCATTTATTTTTTACAGCCATGCTTCTGGTCCGATTAAACCAGTTGTAGCGTTGAAACCGCTGAAAACTAGCCGCTATTTGCTCCCAGAATTTCATTTTTATATTTATTTATAATATACCACATAATCTCAAGAACAAAACGAACTCAACTGTCACATTGATATTGGAATAACCGCATGGGTGAAAACTACACGTAATATAATGGATAGTACTTTTTTTTTAATTTCTTACATTTTTTTCAGTGGTTTTTTCAAAATCGATTAAAAAAGACGGTCGTCGCGTCACTAACATTTGATATAAACTTGGCAACACTCATTCAATTGCATAAATTAATTTTCTTCTTCTTCTGTATTCATATCATTCTGAAAAATGCGTGCGATATTGCCAGCTTGTGTTTGAGATCAATTTCAGGGTTAGTTCCGAAATTAAGGAACATTTCGTATCACGAATCCAAAATTTCATATTTGGAATTTTGTTGAAGAGATAATTGATTGTGTAGTACTCATTGAATAGTCATGTCGTGTTATCATTTATGTACTTTTTTCCACTCTACAAAAAGCATATGCCTTTTGAAACGTGGTTTGAAAGGGGGGTGGTAAATGAAAAAAATGTGGATAGTACTTCCTGATGAACGAATCATTCTCTTATAAAACTAACGAAATGATATTCATTTTAAAGTTTTCCCAACAACGTCCACATCTTCATCTAGCCGATCCAATCTCCATGATAAATAAGCTTTCAGTAGGGAACACTTCGAGAAATCCTAGAATATCAAGAGAGATTCTTCATCGTCTCTTTTCGAGCGCAACACCCTCGCTAGAGTGCTTATGTCGGATCAAAGCTTTCTGCTACATTTACATTTTGTTCACCTCACAAAATAAAGTGTCTCTTCAACTGTTTGAAAGTATATGCAAATCACAGGAGGCCAAGTTCTTTCTGTATCATTTAATAAATAGGTTTTACTTTGAGGGATTTACTGCGTTAAGAGCCGATGTTTAAAATGAAAAACTTATAATTGATTAACGTACTGCTGTATGTATATGATTGAAACTATTAGAAATATTTTAGATTTCGTACTGGAAGTTCTGGAGTAAAATGATTGTATTGAAAACAATTTCCTAACACCGTCGAGAGACCATAAGATGAAAGAGTAAAAGATAATTTGGCAGATATTTCGTCAGAGAACAAGTTATAGGTCATAAAAATTCGAAATGTCAAAAAAATCGTTAATTTCTAAATACAACTTGCTATAATAGTTGAATCATTTCAAAGATCAATTTGCTCATGTTCTTTAATGAAAACCTATTGTTAGCGAAGCAGCGCTGCCTGTCAATATTCACAGTAGAAAATGGTTTCGCTAATAAATCACTCAGAAATAAATAACCACAGAGATAGACAGTAGTTTCTCAAGTAGATCAGTCTGGCTATACAATGTGAAATCAACAGAAAAAATTGATCACCACTCACACACATAAAAACACTATAAAAGAAAAATCTAAATTTCTCTCGCTATCTCACAAAACTCAATATAGACTCGAATATAATCTTTTATATTGCCTATACTTTGTAAGAGAGTCCTTTTCTGTTCCATGTTATACATAAGCAATAAGAGATTTGCCGCAGTGCAAAGCAATAAACGCGACAGAAGAACCTAATGGTGGTCTTTCTAGATGGTATTAATCCAAACGGCATACGTGACAGAAATTCAAGCAGTTACGTCGGCGATGGTGTATAAAGATTATCGATGTTATAACTGGAACACGGTTTCATTGTTAATTTGATATTTGATACGGCTAGTGTGAGTTTGGAATATTCCACCAAATTTTATGTATACGGAACGTAAAGATATCACAAACAATCTGTAGTTCGCTCAGAGACGGAAATACTGTAAAATATATTATTCAAATTCAAATAAACACCAGGTGCAGTACCGCCATCTCTTTTCTGGAGTTTCTCTTAGTAGGCTACGCTCACAGAGAGTATATTGGAAGTAAAACAAATGGAATAGTGATCACAGAACACTGAAATTTGAACTGTTACTGTATCCCGATCGATTGTTCTCACTATTGAGTTCCAACTTCAGATGTTCTTAAATTAAATTTCAACTTCTTTTCTTCGAACAAATCTGTGAAGTATGTTTTGTTATAATTCCGGAAATATTTAATATTTTATGGAAAACTATGTTGTTGTCAAAAATCAAGTTGAAGGTCCAACATTTGAATTCGTAGGTATTTATGATATTTTAACTATGTCTTATTCACGAGGAAGAACACATATTGAATGAATGCAATTTGTAGGTAAGTCTAAAAAAATTACAAGAGCAGTAATTAAGCATGTCTACCTTGAAGTTACAGCCAGCATTTCTCTAAGAGAAATGTATTCTGTAATATAGAACGCAACTTTACCAACTCGGCTCCACTATTAACAACAATTCATCAAATTGAGAAGTTGTACAAAAATAGTTGTAATCGAATTCAAAATAGAATTGTTCCGTCAATAATGGACTGAATATGAACTTTCATAATTATTTCAGTATTTCATGATATTTGTTAGAATATATTTATCTGTACCCAATGAGGTTATAGTAGGTCTTTATTCCAATATTTCTAAAAATTTCAACTTCACTGATCCTTACTTTACTTTTTATGAAGAATGTCGACAGTTTCCAGAGATAATGGATTCAAAAAAGTTGAAATGAATTATTGCAGGCATCCAAACCAAGCAATCCTTTCGACGTGTACTATCCTTCGTCATCGAGGCACAGAATTGTAAAATGTTCTATGTCACAAGGATAAATAGTGAGGTTATGTGAATAAATGTTTCAACTTCGAGAAAATAAAAAAGCATAAAATCAAGATCTTTTCAAATTTTCATAGTTTTCACTTTAACAACCTTATAAAAATTACAAAATGGAATACGAAATACAAAATCTTAACAAACTTAAAAAGTTGGAAGAAACTCTTTTGCAGCTAATAGATAAAATCGACCAAGAAATTATTAAAACTGATGTTGAATGGTTGCAGTTGAAAAACATTTCTGAAGTGGCAAATAATCAGGCTGATACCAAAATGTCTACATCGGAGAGCCCTAATATTCTGCCGAAAGATTCCAAGAGAAACGTTAAAATGGAGTTTAAGGAAGAATTTTATTTTAATATGTCCCAACTGGAACTCATTCCATGCAGATCCACCAGGATACACGATTTAGAAGAATTTGATAGCGACTGAAATTGTAACAATTGTGATAATAATAAAGTGTTTATTGTCAATAGGATCCTTTCAGAAATGTCTGAAAGAACCGACAAAGACTTCCAAAGTTTTCAGTAAAAATTGATTTTATTACGATGGCCTAAATGACATTTTTAGGTAGCCGTGCAGAACTTTTCATACAGTAAACCATAACATTTCGACACATTAGCAGAGAGGTAAAGTATTCATCTTGTACAAAATTATTTATCTGAAAGAAAACATCAATTTGTATATACATGAGTTGATTTAAATCTCGAATGGGAATCATTTCTTGTGGCGTACCTTTCATTTATATAAATTATATTTCAAAAGTCAAATTTGAATGGTGAAGAGAAATTATTTGTTGATGACACAACTTTGGTCTATTTTGATAAAAACGTAAGTAAACTGAAAAATATAATGAAAAGTGACCTTTCAGGCATCTGGTTATATGTTCATGCATAAAAGACTAATGCCTGGTGTCATTGCAATAATTGTGGAATCAAATACGGAAATAATTCAAGGTCTTTAGGTTTATATATTGATAATACTTTGTCATGAGGTATACATATTCAAAATCTGAGGAAAAGAATATCATCAGTCATTAGAATTCTATATAAGATGAGATTATTCTTATTGTCATAGTATTTATTTCTTTGGAAAAAGCCTAGAAATGTATTGAATGTTAATTCATTGTTCAAAACAAAGACCAAATTTGAAACAATTATAAACTTTCCAATATGTCTATTTCTCCATTTCAATAAATTATACAAAACCTAGAAATTTATTGGAAATTCATTCATTGTTTAAAAAAAAGTTAAATTTGACAAAAACTAAAAATAATTATATTTTTATAATGAAATTTGGAACAATCATGAAATACAAATCAATTCAAAGAACTAAGATTATAAAAAAAAGGAAAAAAAAAAATCACATCAAAGGTGCTGCTTCGTTCCCTTCTGTTCATAAAAGAGGACATATGCCTCATTGCTCACTAGTGATTTTGGCGAAATTGGGAACACGTGTGAATCGTATTCATACCACGTACCACTATATGGGTGTCTGCAATATGCTGTGTAATGTCGTTGTAAGTAGTCCCACTGTGATTTGAAAGTGCATATAGATTATAACGACAAGGAGCCACATTGTCTGCTGCATAACTGCTCATATCTAATCCATCTGAAGAAAAGTCAATGGAAACATTCAATTTGCCTCTGAACCTTTCCGTCGGAGAGAATATAAACTTCTGAATATGTCTATTATAAACTCTGAAAGTCGCGCCATTTGAAAACCTTTCAAATAAAAAGTATGGTAGGTAAAAATTCACTATTATTCAGTTGGATAACAATATATAATAGTCTGCATAAATACCAAAAGAACATTAATTCTTTCACCAAATTCAAGAAAATATCTGAATAAAAGAACAACGGTCAAATTTGACAAAATAAATTATACAAAACCTTAAAATTTATTGGACATCAATTCATTGTTCAAAAAAAGGTCAAATTTGATATAAACTGAACATAAACTTCAGTATATACCTATTTTAAAGTTATATATCTACTGTAAAGTTATTATCATTACTACTTTTGTTAAAACTGCCGCAACCAGGAAATCTGATCACCTGAAACATCTCAGGTAGAATTACTTTTATTTCTAGAACACAATAATAAGAATCAGAATCTTCCCTACCTCTATTCAGGTAATTTGTTTCTCAGGCACCATATAAACGAGTCAACTCTTCAGAAATACACAGTTATTCGTTTCTCATCATTCAGAATGGAAGAGGAAATGAAAAGTTTTGCCAAACTTCGTAAACTAGAACAAATCCTCACGCAGTTTTTGGAAAAAATCGACAATGAAATCGATAAAACGGAAGTGGAGTGGCTGAATTTGAAAAGCATATCTGAAACGAAAAATTGCCAAGAGTTCTCAGGACCTGTGCCCAGCAGCTCAGGTGCTTCGAACGTTTCCCCGAAAGAAATCAACAAAGAAAGTGAGGGTCATACGAAAAATCCCAATAGCAGCGGTGAAAATGTAGCTAAATGGGAAGATTTCAAAATGGAAAACATGGACTTTCTTGATGACATTAACTTGTCACTGGAGCCATCTTGTGGAAGAACAAAAGGTCTCTATGATTTAGGAGAAGTTGATAGTGACTGAAGCGTTTTCGTATTTTCTGATTGGTGATTTTTGTGTAGATTTTTTTAATGAATTGCCAATAAATTGCTCCATTTTTTTAGAAAGAATTTAATTCAAGCTGGAGCCTACCTAACAAAGCATGTTTCTGAGCTTTCAATTGACCACCGGTTTTTCATCATAGGTTAAGTTTAAATTTTCTATATATGAGAAACTACAGACCTTTACACTTTCCGGAAAAAGAAAATTATGAAACCAATATTATTCGTTAGTTTCATAAGAAAATAGTTCGTTCATCCGTAAATAACACCCAGCATTTTCCATTTCGAAAGAAAGTCAGTTTCAAAACTGACTGACATAATCTTTGAGACTCACCACCACTCTTTCAAACCACGTTCCAAAGTGTATATGGTTTTTGTGAAGCAGAAAAAGTACAAGAATGAATGTACGACATAAATATTCAAATAGTTATCCTCAATTAAATATCTCTTTTACGAAATTCCGAATATACAGTCTTTATGGGTCTGAATTGCGGAACAAATCAGCCAAATAGATCTCAAAAACATGTTGGCAATGTTGCTCGCACAGTCAGGACAAGATAGCAGGAAAAAGAAGAAGAAAATGTATGTAATAATAAGTTTTACGGTGTTACCAAGTTCATATCATATATCATATGTTAGTAACGTCACGACCTTAGTTTGTACTCGATTTTGAAAAAAATACTGGCAACAAAATTATAAAGAATGTTGATATTTCAATATCAATTATTTATTGGTCTCACCCTCGTCTTTCTATTTTGTTCCACATTGTAATTAGATTGGTACAAGTGTTCGTTAATTTATAACGTGATGCAAGCGGAAATGCATTAATGTAGTAATTCGTGCTTTGTGGTAATAGCACAGCTTACTTAAGTAAGCTGTGGTAATAGCTTTGTTACGAAACATGGTATATATACCAGAAGTTGTAACCCCATGATCGACACGACTGAATGAAGGCAAAAGTCAAAAACATAGAGGGAGTTCATAAAAGCGAGTGTTACAAACACAACACAGCTTTCAGCAAAAAATATAAAACGAGCATAGACATAATAATGTGGACTGGACGTGTCGTCATTTTCACATATATTCCATCTGCGAAACACAACGTCTTGACCACTGCGTCATAACAGCACAAAACATCGTGACGTAAAGTGTATGAGACGTAAATGCCAAGACGTGAATCTCTTCATCTTCTTTTAGTTGTTGAAGTCAACGTTCTCTTTTCAATGGCTAGTCCATATTTATTTTTGTCACTGGAATCGAGGTATGTACTATTATACGAGTAGTTTTTTTAATTAGGAATCACACGTTCAAAGGTAAGACCTCGTTAGTCCTTCTTAGGGGCCGACAGGAAAAACTGATTGTAACCTAGGCGGTTATCCCATTACCAGTAGAAAAAAAAACATTGTTCCACCTGGAACCTGTCACCTTTCCCAGTCACCAGACCTGCAATACTATTTTCGACGAGCGTTTCACCAACCAGATTAGCGTGTGTTGAGAAAAGTATTGCAGTTCTGGTGATTGGGAAAGATACTTGTTTTGGATTCTTTCTAGACGAGTCTTTCAATTGGAAAGTACATTGTCAACAATTGACATCAAAAATTGTCTTTTTTAAGTTTCTCCTCACCAAACTTACAGTTTCAACAGAGAGTCAGTTGCTCAATATATTGTCGATTTTTTTTGGCTCTACCGCGTCCAAAGATATAAAAAAAGGCAGAGGAACTTTCAATACTGTTTCACATTCGTTATAATCTGATATAAACCAATTTGCAAAGCGATTTTTCGTTCATCAAATTACTTTTTTTAAATACGGACCTGCATACATAGCTGAATTTATTACAGTAACTACAAAATTCGACGTATTTAAAATATAAAGCGGATGATGAAGTATAACCAACGACACGTCGCACTGCAAATTGATTTATATCAGATTATGACATATATGAAACTGTATTGAAAGATCTTCTGCTTTTTTATTTTATTTTAACACCTTTTTTTAGCTTCACCTGTATCATTATTGCTTGATCTATTCGCGGGCAGATGGCGCTGTACGTAACCTCCTTGGTATATCGACATTATTGCTTGATCTATTCGCTGGCAGATGGCGCTGTTACCTCCTTGATATAATTCAAACTTTACATACACACATCGGAAAAGTCTAGGGATATTTTTAAAAATGGCAATATTTTTTTTTTAGATCGCTTTAGGGAAAAAAAGTTGACGGGTGATTATTAAACGAATGTAACTTACAACAAAATTTATTAAATGGTCAAAAATACTGCGCATATAAGCAAAACTAAAAAAAACCCCGAAAAAAAATCATAATACAAAAAAAATTGGAATAAGTTCAAAGTATGGCCCCCACGCTGGTTTATTACGGCCCTACATCTATCGTGCATCGACAAAATGAGATTGTCAATGTCTTGTTGAGGTACATTTGCCCATTCAGCGATTAAAAGCTCTCTCACTTGAAATGTTGTGTGAATGTTCCCCATATGCGGAGTAATTCTTCGTTGAAGCATGTCCCACACATGCTCGATGGGATTCAGGTCCGGTGATTGTGCTGGCCATGGCAATACATCAACTCCTTCGTTGGTGAGCCAGTCAGTCACTAGACGCGCGACATGTGGACGAGCATTATCGTGCATTAGGTGGAAGTTTTCACCAACAGCACCAGCAAACGGACGGACGATAGGTAGAAGAATGGTGTCGAGGTACTGTCGAGCTGTGAGGGAGCGATTTGGAAAAACGAGATCGGTTCTGCGGCCGATCATGATTCCGCCCCATAGCATTACTGTACCACCTCTGTATGTGTGGACTTCCTGGACGTGTCTCAAATGTTCATTATTTCCAGGTCGTCTCCACAGTCTTACTCGACGAGAATCTGGATGAAATCTAAATCTGGATTCGTCTGTAAACAAAACTATGGCCCAATCATTTGCATCCCAGTTTTGATGTTCTTGACACCACTCTAATCTTCTACCGCGATTGCCTCTCGACAAAGGTGGACATCTAAGTGGCCTTCTGTTGTGGAGATCTGCTTCATGCAGTCGATTTCTGACAGTATCACGACCAATGGTTACCTGGTGCGTCTGCTGCAACACGTTAACCAACTCAGGTGCTGTGATTGTCGGTTGTCTTCTTGCGGTTAAGACCAAAAATCGGTCTTGAACTGCAGTTGTAGCGCGTCCTCGCCCTGGATGTTGTTCGGCTGGACTGCCAGTTTCACGGAAACGCCGCCACAATCAACTGATAACACTTTGGGAGACCCCCAAACCAAGAGCTACATCATTTTGTCGCATGCCACCTCGAAGAGGCCCTACAGCTCTATTCATCTCAGCCAATGGTAAGTGATGGCGTTCCATGTTAGAGCACAATATTTCCAGTTTAATTGCTGAGCAAGAACTGCATAGAATGTACAAACTCGACACTTTCAGATTATTCATTTTAGCCGAAAACCTACAGTTTGTAAAAAACTTGATAAAAGATTAGTTACCGTTTTTGCAGGCTTTGTTCAACCCATAGAAATCTACAGGGTGGTCGAGTGTACCAATTTAATCGAAATTAAACGACCTCATGCATTTATTTTTATGATACTTAGTATGTTATAAAAATATCCCTAGACTTTTCCGATGTGTGTACTTCTTCATTTGAGAAAAGTTTTTTTTTTTCATTATTATTCATTATTATATCTCAAAAACAATCACTGATATTCTTGGTCTGAAAAGAGATTATTCTGGTTTCCCAAAGGAAACTTTTTCCAATTTAAGCGACCCTTTAGGTCTTACTGTTTTCGATACAGCAACAGTGGGATCAGCTGAAAAAAGACCACGATATAGAAACTGGGGATACAAAATTCAAACTAGAATTAAAAAACGATTGAATTCAAATCATTTATTCTCTATAATATATTTTAATAACAGTGTGTTAACAATGTAATATATAGTTTATTCAATAAATCCATTTAATCCAATTCAATACCTCAATGAGAAAACCTAGTTTAAAGAGTTGTATTTGAAAACAAGTTTGACATCGGCAAATTGACTTCAATCTCAGAAAATCTTAACAGGCGACCACTTACACACTCCACATCACTGACCATCAACAACAACGAAAATAACATCCCCAACAAAACAATAAATATTAAAGCACTTACGAAAAAATACAAATTAAAAACGGTTAGATGTTATTTCAAAGCAAGAGTATGAAAGAGTATGCAATATTTGAAAAAAAAAACAGCTGAACTGGCATATTTCATATGCTTGAAAATATACTGATGGCGTCTCGGCTTGAAGAAACGTTACAAACTCTGAAATGGTACAAAAATCACAAGAAAGTAAAGCTTTTTGGTAACTTTTTTAAGGAATTACATCAACATCTAGCCATTTTAATTTGTACGTTAGGAGAAAATATAGAACCCCGTTATTTTTATATATATTTTTTATTTGTACTTCAGCTACCTATAAAAATAATTAAGTCCTACTCGGAATACAAAAAAATCTATACAACTTTTGCATAGGCAAGATGAAGATAATACGCTCACGTGTAAAAACTCATCAGCAGAAATATGCAACTCAATGATCCTCAGTGCAAGTTTATTATGTCCCTTTCTCTATTTACACGAGACCGGGTGCAAAAGTAATCGGGAGGGGGGGCACACTAGAAGGAAAAAAGATGTCGATTGTGCAAAGTCTCAACCAATGAAATTGATTGGGAACACCTCAGTGTAGACAGTCGATTACTTTGCAAATGAACCGTGTGTAATTTTACACAACCAAAATGAAAACTTGTATTACGTGTAAAGCTGCAAATCAATCTGTAAATTCGAATGTAAAAACTTGTACGGATAGATCGCAAAATTCTATTAATAAATATACATAAAGTTGAACTTCTCTCGTTATAAAATTTACAAATGGAACCTTTTAAATTCTATTCGATGGCACAGATTGAACCATCAACACAAGTTTACGTTCCTCCACTAAAGATTGAAAAAGCAATATGATTTCAATCTGTAAAATTACCAGACTTTGTTAAATTCGATGAAAATACTTCAAATATATTGATTGCAAAATTCAATCTGCAAATATAAGTAATAGAGGACCTTTTATTCGTCATAAAATTTACGAATTGAACCTTTCAAATTGTATTCAATGGCACAGATTGAACCATCAATGAAAGTTCTAGTTGCTCCGCTCAAGAATGAAAAAGCATCAATAAATATATTTGTACAATTTTTAGTGTGTAAATTTACTGACTGAACTCTCCAATATTGTTGATCAATCCATTACTATAATTCAACTTAAAAAAATCAGATTTGATACTTCCTATATCATACACTAAAATTAACAAATGAAACTATGAATTTGGAGGCGGAATTCATAAATGTAGTTTCAGGGTTTACATTATTTACTATCAATTACATCTAATTTATAATTCTCAGATTGAAATAAAGCGCACTCCATTGATTTTACAGATTGAATTATCTTTTTTGTGGATTGAAGTTTCCTACAAAGTTGAGTTATCAATCTAAAAATTGATGAAAAAAAATCACTGGTTGTGATTTGTCGACGAGTTTACTAGAAATTGATGAAAAGATCACTGATTGTGATTTTGTCAATTTAAGTTTTCCTTCAATTGTTTGCCAATCATTTCAGACCAGTCTGAATATTTTGTTAACTGTTGCAACTTTTGCATTTAGTTAGTTGCCACCAAATTTACAGATTGATAATACTGTTATTATTAAAAACAAATTCAAAATGTTGGTATACGAGGAATATCACAAAATGAATCACAGTTGATTTGAAAATCTTTTCAATGATCCTGTATATGTAGACATAAAAAACTGAACCGATCCAGGAGTTCAAGTGATCCCCCCAAAACAACTTCAGCTCGGTTAGAACAAGCGTTTTACTGATGCACCCGACTCGACATTATATCCATCTAATTTTCTCCTTTCTGAAAAAATTTCGATACATTAGGTACTAAAGCATCACTACTCGTTTTGTGTTATCGAAGCACGAATTTCAGCCTTCGCTATTCGTCGTCCGTGTCTCCTTCGCTCGAATAATCCTGAATGGGAAGAGGCCTCACGAAAGGAGCTGATGTCATCTGCCTGAAAATAAACGATAGCTTAGGAGAGGAATTTAAAAAATCAAGAGAATTGAAATCAGGTATCAGTGCAGGCTATCATATTTTCAAAATCAAGCTGCTTGAGGTCAGGTGAATGTGCAGGCCGTTAGTTTTAAAGCTTTGATTTGAAATATCAAGGAGGCTGAGGTCAGGTAGCTTTGCAGGTTTGATATTTTGATTTTAAAAAATCAAGAGGACTGAGGTCAGATGAAGGTGAAGGTCGTTACAGTCTCAATACTTCAATTTGAAAAAATCAAGAAGGCTGAGGTCAGGTAGCTTTGCAGGTTTGATATTTTGATTTTAAAAAATCAAAGAGGACTGAGGTCAGGTGAATGTACAGGCCATTAGTTTTAATGCTTTGATTTGAAAAATCAAGAAGACTGAGGTCAGGTGGCTTTGCAGGTTTAATATTTTGATTTTAAAAAATCAACACGACAGGGGGTCTGGTGAATGTGCAGGCCGTTACAGTCTTGATGCCTCAATTTCAGGAATCAAGAAGACTGGGATCAAGTGGCTATGCCAGCCTAATATTTTGGTTTTGAAAAATCAAGAGGACCGAGATCAGGTGAATGTGCAGGTCGTTACAGTATTGATGCTTTAATTTCAAAAAATCAAGAAGGCTGATGTCAGGTGGCTAAGCAGGCCTGATATTTAATCAAGAAGGCTGGGATCAGGTGACTATGCCGGCCTAATATTTGGGTTTTGAAAAATCAAGAGGACTGAGATCAGGTGAATGTGCAGGTCGTTAAGTATTGATGCTTTAATTTCAAAAAAATCAAGAAGGCTGATGTAAGGTGGCTAAGCAGACCTGATATTTTGGTTTTAAAAAATCAAGAGGACTGAGGTCAGGTGAATGTACAGGCCGTTACTGTCCTAATGCTTTAATTTGAAAAATCAAGTAGGCTGCTGTCAGGTAGCTTCGCAGGCTTTATATTTTGAATAAAAAAAATCAAAAGGACTCAGGTGAGGTTAATGTTCAGGCCGTTAGTCTTAATGCTTCATTTTGAAAAATCAAGAAGGCTAAGGTCAGGTAGTTTTGCAGGTCGTTACAGTATTGATGCTTTAATTTCAAAAAAATCAAGAAGGCTGATGTCAGGTGGCTAAGCAGGCCTGATATTTTGTTTTTGAAAAATCAAGAGGACTGAGGTCAGGTGAATGTGCAGGCCGTTACAGTCTTGATGCCTCAATTTCAAGAATCAGGAAGGCTGGGGTCAGCTGACTATGCCGGCCTAATATTTTGGTTTTGAAAAATCAAAAGGACTGAGATCAGATAAATGTGCAGGTCGTTACAGTATTGATGCTTTAATTTCAAAAAAATCAAGAAGGCTGATGTCAGGTGGCTAAGCAGGCCTGATATTTTGGTTTTGAAAAATCAAGAGGACTGAGGTCAGGTGAATGTGCAGGCCGTTACTGTCCTAATGCTTTAATTTGAACAATGAAGCAGGCTGCTGTCAGGTAACTTTGCAGGCTTTATATTTTGAATGCAAAAAATAAAAAGGAGTTAGGTCAGGTTAATGTTCAGGCAGTTAGTCTTAATGCTTCATTTTGAAAAATCAAGAAGGCTAAAGTCACGTAGTTTTGCCGGTTTGATATTTTGATTTTAAAAAATCAAGAGGACTGAGGTCAGGTGAATGTGCAGGCCGTTACTGTCCTAATGCTTTAATTTGAACAATGAAGCAGGCTGCTGTCAGGTAGCTTTGCAGGCTTTATATTTTGAATGCAAAAAATGAAAAGGACTTAGGTCAGGTTAATGTTCAGGCTGTTAGTCTTAATGCTTCATTTTGAAAAATCAAGAAGGCTAAGGTCACGTAGTTTTGCCGGTTTGATAGTTTGATTTTAAAAAATCAAGAGGACTGAGGTCGGGTGAACGTGCAGGCCGTTACAATATTAATGCTTTAATTTGCAAAGTCAAAAAGGCTAAGGTCGGGTAGCTTTGCAGGTTTGATATTATGATTTAAAAAAATCAAGAGGACTGATGTCAGGTGAATGTACAGGCCTTTACAGTCTTAATGCTTTAATTCGAAAAATCAAGAAGGCTGAGGTCAGGTGGCTATGCAGGCCTGATATTTTAGTTTTGAAAAATCAAGTGGACTGAGGTCAGGTGACCGTCCAGGCTGTTACGGTCTAACATTTTTATTCTACTTACGACAATCTTCTGTAGTAATTCAGCCATTCTTCGACCATTTGAGCAACCAACAACGGTCTTTTATGCAGCAACTGTTGAGCAACCAGGATGCCCCCTTCGGTTTCACACACGTCCAACCACTGACGAAGGATCGCTTCCTCCCTGCCCAACTGAAAAATGAAATTGGTGAGTTTTGGCATTTTGCCCCCCGTCGCCACAAGACATTATTTACCTCTGATTCTGTTAGGAAATGTATCGGCAGAATCTTCCGCTCCCTGTCCATCAGAGGCAGGAAAGTGCTCCTCATGTGGTCCGGATTCATGTTGCTGTGCTGGAGGAGAGGCCGAGAATCGATTCTGCTGTACGGTTCAATTGGAACTAGGGCTGAGAAGTGGCCTCTGGTATACCCCAGGGCGATCGGGGTACGTATACAGAAACTTTGTTCCCACAGCAAAGGCAGGTAGACCCCTAGAAGTGGTTTTTGAGAGTTTTACTTCTGCTCTCGTAATTAGTAATTTTTTGTTTAATGCAAGTATAAAACCAGTCACCTTCAAATTAATAATATTAAGAGAGATGTTGAACAATAAGGACCCTAAAATTTTTCATTGTGAAACTCCATAATTCAATATTTTTTCCTTAACTAATTGATCCCTACTTGAAAATAGGGTTTTCAAATCTGTAAATAACTCTTACGACAAGGAAGTTAAATATAATCAAGTGAATCAGTTTACAAAATTCAACTATTGACTGCAATGACTTTTCAAAACACGGACCGTACCAAGAATTAGAAACCCACCTTCGAATCTGGCATATCCGATGGCTTCTCCTCTGAAACTTTTGACGAACTTGACACCGTAGACGATGATCGGGCGACGGAGGATATGCGCCAATGCAAAAACGTGTAGTTGTTCAAGACTTGTGCCAGGCTGGCTAGCAAGCGACAACAAGCTTGTCCAATCTTCTTCCCATTGCCCCTCGTCCAAGGAGTATTGAAGGATGGAGGCGTGGCTTGACTCGTACTCTTTCCATCTCGGGTAGAACCTTGAGAACCCAATACGACACTTTACGTGAAACAATGGAATAATAAAAAACATGAAAGAAATAATAATTTATTTTCCAAAGGCAAAAATGAATGCACTAATTGGGAAATCAATAATTATACGAGGGAGTCTTTTAATGTGACAAAGTTTGAACCATTAGAATACGATTCATATGATATGAAAACTAACTAAAACTGGAATTGATCATAACAAAAAATCTAGTCTTCGGTTTTTGGACCAGTACAAAGCATATTTGGAGTGACATTTCAAAGTTGAATTCTCACTTACACATGTCCTCCTTGGGCGAGACTTTCGGCCAGAGCCCTCCTGAGCATGTTGTCCCTGTCGAAGACTCCCCAAGTAGCCTGCATGACTGAATCTAGAAGGCAGTCCCCTGCAGATCGGTTCCACAGGGCGTACAGACGAGATCCCAGTCGAACGGTTATGTCTAACGACCAATTTATGACAGCAGGATCCGTCTCCAATTGCTCCTGGGCATCTTTGTCGAGCAGCTCGGAAAACAGTTGATCCTGAACGGAGGGGGGTAATTCGTCAACTTCTGAAAGACAAAATCATTTCACAACCTATTTGAAACAGCATTAAATTCAGTTGATATACTGTGTGTAGAAATCTAACATGTAATAGTGGATTCTGAAAAATCTTACTTCAACTGCCCCTTCCCAGTTTTTATTTTCCGTTCTGTCACCCCTTCTTGCCTTCATACCTATTTTATCGCCATTCATTCTCTATTTTTACAGCTTGTGGCTCTTTTCATCTCTACCTCAGTCTCTGCTGTGCCTCATGGATCAATTTTGGGGTTCCTTTCATTTTATATTCTCTACCTCTCCCTATTCCCTCTTATTCATCATATCAGTTTCCAATTTTATTCACTTTTTCTTTTCTCTGGATTCTCCCTATTTATCCATCTCACCAGCATCAGCTTTTTTCTATGTCACTGTCCACTTCTTTGTCCTCTTTACTAACTTCTGTCTATCTATTTCTCTGTTCTTTCCTTCTGAATCTCATGAATTATCATTTCATCTGTCTCCTGTCTCTCATCTAGCCCTGCCTGTTTTTTCCAATTATTGGTTTTTGATCTGTTATTCTGTTTTTATCTCCCACGCATCAAACCCCATTCTTTGCCTATCTTTCCCATCTTCATATCACTTTGTTTGCTTACCTTCTCCACTCCCATGTCTTCTATCTCTTTGATCTCTGCTTTCTGCTACCCCATTACCTCTGTCTCTTTCACTATTTTCTTCACCACGTCTCTCTTTTCCTTTTTTTTTGAAGTTTCTATATTATTATTTGTTCCTTCTCTCCACCCCTGACTCCTTTATTTCCTGTTTTCTCTCTTCTCTCTTTGTATTGCCTTTCTTTTTTTTCTTCTTTTTCAACTTTCATTTTTATATTTCTCTTTCTCATCTTCTTTTTCTCTTCTTTCTCTCGCCTCTTCTTTTTATCTTACTACTTTCGCCCTTGCCCTTCTTTATCTCCATTCTCTCCCTTAATTCATCCTTCTCCCTGCCCTCTCAGACCTCTTTTTCTTTTACTTGTCTCCTTTCTTTTTACACCCTCTTTCAATTCCCCCTTTTACTTTTCTCTCCTTCCTTTGAAATCTCTCTTTCCTCTCTCTTCCTACTGAAACTTCTCTTGGTATCTACTATCTTTTTTCTCTCCTTCCTTCCTCAGGTTTTCTTTTTTTTTCTGCTCTCTCCCCCACTTCTTCTATATCTTTGCTCTGTGTGGCCTATTTTTCTTTCCTTCACATTTCACTTCTCTCTATTCATTTCTCTCTCTTCTCCTTTTTCCCTCTTCTCTCTTTCACACCTCTCTACCAACTCTCTTTCTCTCCCTATCATCAATTTCAATTATGCAATTAGGGCTGCACATACTTAATGGTATTTCAATGAATGAACTGTAAAATATAGCTACTTATTCGTATTAATATACTAACCTGCAGGTAACGTGAAAGTGGGAAACTCCGTTACGAAATTGCAAGGAAAATTCCCTTTACGCAGTCGAATGGTAGAAGCAAAATGTCTTCTGATATCCGCAGCTAGATCGGGGGCTACGTAACTAGGGACACGCTTGACTCCAGATCCAGATCCTTCTATTTGAGATAGTAAGACAGACAGCAAGTCTTCTCTTTGAAATCTAAACAAATAATGAGTATTTCTGGATCAATGAATTATTAGAAAAAATATTATCAAAGAGGAAATTCGTGAGTAGAGTAATACATTGCTCAAAGCTCCAAATAGGACCCCGAGGGACTCTTTATTTCAGTACCTTATAGCTAAATGAACCAGAGTATGTCCAACGTCGAAAGCAGAACTTCTATTCAGGATGGCGACTTCAGAAGCTGTAAGTGTCCTAGCTGGGTCTCCACCTGATGACAGATAAGCTTCAACGGGATTGGGGTCGCCTTCAATGACCCCCATGCACGCGTTCAACCATCTCCAGTCAGCATTACGTCTCATGTGTCTAGTTTTACGTTCGTTCTCCAGATTATTAGGACCCTGACCAGAATCTAGAAGAAAATGTATATGGAATGATATAAAACTACTTTGTCGTCTAAACAGACAGTTATAGATCTTTTAATTTTTGAAGAAAAAAGGAATTCTTACGGAAAATATAAAGTATGGACTCACCAAGAATGTAATCCTTAAATTTATCATCTTGATTCAAGTCAGTATCGATTATTCGATCAGGAGAAGGAATTATAAGACTAGAAGCTTGGGATCTTTGGCTGCTGTTTAGAGTGCCGCACATCGCACACTTTGGCGATTTTGGCCAGTTTTCGTAAGTACAAGTCTAAAATTAAGAAATAATAGAATGACCGACACCACACACAATTTTCAGAACTTTTTTTTGTTCTAGGGCCATCTTTAACGCATCTGAATCAAAGCAATGAAAAGTAGTGCAACATTTTGAATTGAATTAAATTTTGTGCTAATTTTTGACATTTGAAGAAATCCATATGTGAAAATAGATTCGATTCAAAAGTATCTACTTCAGATCAATAGTTAAAAATAAGTCAAAACTAATTATCATCTGTTAATATCCAATATTCCTCAAGCAGCAATATTCCGCAAGCAATATTTCTAGGTCCACTTTCATTTTTAGAAAGGGAAAAGCAACAATAGAACAATATAATTACCTGGCACATCCACTTGGCCTGGGACGTCCTCCTGGTGTTTTCAATGTTTGTGAGGCTAGCTGGGGGGCTGTTATTTCTTGAACGCGAAAGGCTTTGCGCTAGATCAGAATGCTGGGAGATTCGAAGGGGCTGAATATGTTCGTGCAGCGTGTTGCCGGAGAGTGAAGTCGCTCCACAAATAATACACGTGTTTGACAGATTGTAGGTGCACTTCACACATTTCGACTCGTTATTTTCTAGGGGACCGGCAGCAGAGCCTATCGAGGAGAATTTCTCGTCTGCATTTATCTTATCGCCGTGCAGCCGGTATATGTCTTCGCTGACGAAAGGTTTGGGACCTCTGCACATGGTGCACTTTATGGAAGATGGGTAGTTTTCGTAGGTACAGTATTCGCAGGACCATTTCTTTTCATTATCACTCATCTTAGCTGTAGTTTTATACCTGAGCACCAAAAAATGGTTCAAGCGTACTTTCTATGTCATGAATTTATCATGCTTATTTGATTTCAATTTGTGATTTTCTATTGTCCAATAAACTTCAATACAATTAACTAGACATTATTATTTTGGAACCTAAAACAAAAATTTGAATATACACCATACCATTGAGAAAGCTGAAATGTAATTTGGCATGTTTTTCAAGGAATATGCGTATGCCAAAGTCTAAATATATAAACCCGAATGCGAAGCACTTTCCAACGAACGACAATCACTCGAAAGGTTAATAAGAATGTTAACCATCAACAAAAATCAAATATCATTCAAGTACTCCCTCACCTTCAACAATATTCATGAAAAAATGTATTGTAATGAAGGCACAGCGGTACAATTTACGTGTTGATTTGAAAACAAATAATTTGGATACCATTTAAGAACGGGAAATCCACCAAAGAAACAGTAATCACTAAAATGTCAAAACATAAATACTAGTTTGACCTCACAAATTCACTCAAAATTCGCCCTCCTGTTTTCTTTTTCTCATCGCAAAATAGGCAAAAAACAATGTCAGTTGTCAACGTCAACCGTCTAATTATAGCACAAGTATAATGCTGAAAGCTTTGTTCGCTTGTACTAATAGGAAAAACGCATGTATTTTTTTTATAATCAAATAATTGACGTGGTCTTCAGAAGTCTACAATAGTGATGGAGATTTCTTCAGGTTCACTGTTTTTTTAATATGCTAATTTGATGATAGTCTGCAATGTGAACTTGATTTAACCTTGAATTAGAATAACTTCCCACTACAACCATAATTAATTACCAATAACAATGCAATCGACTTTAACCATAATGAATTAACAATAATAATGGAAACATTTTTCCATTTATGTGTGGAATTTTTAAGTGAAACACGGAAAATATATTTTCTTGGAAGTGCACGTAAGGCCAGAATTCTAGGTATAGAAGCTAGAATTATAAGGTTTTTTCCGTTTAAGATTTTAGAAACAAATCAATTTTTAAATATAAAAAAATATTTCAGAATTTTGGTTATGCTGCCATCTCTTGGTCAAAGTCCAAATTAATACTCCAAAATTTTTTTTTCTGACAAACTGTAAATTACAGGTTACTTTAAAAATAGTTTATTCAAAATACTCCTCGTCCGTTCAAAAGAGGACGCCACCAACAAATTTCTCTATTTGATCTAATAATTTTTGAAGTTTAAAGAAAACTGGATATTCTCAGAAGTGCATACAATGGTTGATTTCGAAGTGCAAAGTTGCAGTTAGTTTCTTTTTACCCTCAACGATTCCCAAGATATATTTTGAAAAAAAAATACTTTTTAGAGTTTTAGTTATGCCGCCAACGCGCAAAGAGTATTGTATTTATAGTGATTGAGAAAAGTGCTTGTTTTGGATTTATTCTACGTCAAAGGTTCCGAGTTTACCTTTTATAACGGTTTTCAGCTTGAAAGCGTGGAATTCATTTTCTTGAAACTGCAACTAGGGCAGGAATTCTATGTGCTGAAATCAGAATTGTAATCGTTTTTTCCTTTGACCGTTTTTGAAATAAATTAGTTTTGCAGCGTAAAAATAACTTTAGAATTTTGATTATACCGTCATCTCTTGGTCGAAGGCCAAAGTATTACTTTGAAATTTTTCTATTTCGACAAACTGTAAATTACAGGTTGCTGTTTAAATAGTTTGTTCAGAATATTTAACTTTTGCCCAAAAGATGACGCTACCAACAAATTTTATATACAAACTGTCATTTTCAGGGCAAAATAAATATCCTCAGAAGTGCATAAGAGAATGTGATCTTGAGACGCAAAACTGCAGCCAGTTTCTTATCACTTTCGACAATTTTCGAGATACAATTTGTGTTATACCGTCATCTATTGAAGAATTATCTCACTAAACTATCAGAATTCTTCACTCGTATCAAACAGCTGGTTAACGGAAAACAGATTTCAAGCTATAAATTACAGGTTCCTTTCTATATCCCAGAAGCTCAGTTTTCGTCCACGAGATGGCGAGTTGAATATTTTTGTAATTTAACACTTGTACTTGCCCTGTACCTTTGTATTATCATTGTATGGGTATTATAGTTTACATACAAACCCTGTACACAATCCAGAAGGAACTGCAGCAGTTATTTTTTCGTGAACTGATATTCTTTGAGACATTTGAATTAGCCTTCAAAATAATCATAATTTATTATACCTGAATTTTGAGAAATGAAGATTTTTATGACTATTCAAAAGACATAACATGAGTATATGAAGTATTGAAGGAAGAAATCAGATAAGTGTTATGAAAAACAATATCCAAAACTTTTCAGCGTACATTTTAAATAACACATTTCAGGTCCAGACGCTGAGAGAGGAGTTTAAACATATATTTCTCTATATTTCAGGTTGAATGTTAGCAAATACTGTGCTTTTAATTAATTCATCTACATTATTCGTCAAACGATTCACAAACGCTTGAAACTCAATTGTAAAACGACCATCAATCGTAAAGACTCCCTTCATCAATAAAAACTCAAAAAATCATATAAAAATGTTTATTGAAATGAAATAAAATCTTCCAATATCGATAAATATAAATAATATTTCACTGGGAATTTACAAGGGGGGCTGTGTAAATAACTGGTCCGAGGATAAAACACACTGGAAATAAAAGAAACGCGTCTAGCACACCTAAAACAATTACAAACTCCCTACGTGTCGTCTACCTCGAGCCTAGCTACTTTCGAACTGACATCGGTATCTGTGGCAGTGTTTGACTGTTTCTGTACAAGGCTTAACCTAGCTTTTTTCCGGATGTAGCCGATCTTCCCGGAGCGCCGCCTCCGCCTCTTCCTCTTCAAGATAACCGCCTCCTCCAAGTCAGAGGCAGTGGCGCTGGACACTGTCTCGTCCTGCGACCGATTCGGCGACAGGTGGGACTCCTCGAGGTCGGGGGCGGCTTTCTTTGTTGTCTTTTTCCGCCTGCTGGTCCGGTCAGAGAGGGGCACCTCATCCTCCGTGTCTTCGAAGTCGTCCGAGGTGGTCGACGTGACGGCCGTTTCCTCGGTGGGGGCGCTGCTGCGTTTCTTCCTCAGAGGGACTTGTTCGTTCTGGGACTTGGTCTGGAAAGTGCATCGATTTATTCAGTTGATTTGTTTAAGCAAAGAGTGACGGCCGAAAATAGCTGTGTCAAAGCTATTTTAAAGGTTTCTTGGCCAAAATCTACAGATTTTTAAGCCTAACGTTTCGCCTGAGACTGCGGTAGAACACTTTGTTCATTGTCCCATCGCCTCATTTGGAATAATTTCTACCGTAACCTCGGATGAAACATCAGGCATAAAAACATGGCTAACAAACTCGGGAAATAACTTTGACAGTGTCTGAATAATGTAGCGCACAATACAAAAGTTTTCTCGAACGCCTAAAAGGAAAATAATGCTATATTTTCAGGTGGAAAGACCTTGGCCTAATTACACAACACAACAAAGTTTTTGTTTCAGGGTTGAAATTAGATGATTTTAATGTATTTCCACGTGTTAAAACCGAAAGTGACCATAAAAATTATATATTTGCTCTTGTTTTCAAGATATAGTATCATTATATTATATATATGTATATTGAGTTTTCAACAAATGAAATATTTCATCACCAACAGTTGGTACACATGTTTGTTTACATAACACCCCTTTCATCAGCTGTTCTTAAGTAGTAAACATAACCTATGTGAGTTTGTCAATTGTACGCACGTGGTTGCTATTGAAATTATCGTGTGAAGTTGATTTTTAAATTAATTTAAGTGCTGATCTGAAATGCCTCGAAAGTGTGTGAATTCTGTCGATAGCTTTTGCTATATATGTGGTGAAATAACATTTAAGGCTCAGAAACGTAAAATGACACCTATCGTTAAGACAGCCTATGAACATTATTTTTGTGTGAAAGTTGGGGACCAAGATAAATCATGGGCTCCTCATATATGTTGTAATTCTTGTTCCGTCATATTGCGAGAGTGGCTGAAAAATAAAAACCGGGCAATGGCTTTTGCAGTACCTATGGTTTGGCGTGAGCCTACCAATCATACAGACGACTGTTATTTCTGCTTAACTCCTCCCATTAAGCAAGGTTTATCTATGAAGAAAAGAGGAACGGTTAAATACCCTAATCTCCCATCTGCTCTTCGGCCTGTACCACACTCAGACAATTTGCCAGTCCCTTCTCCACCCCAAAACTATGAAATTTTAGAGGAAGGTGATGAAGACTGTTTAGAAGGAGCAACCCATCCTTCTACATCCTATGACCCTGATTTTGAGGTAAGCGATAGGTCTAGTGATCCGCACAGAATTAGTCAAGCAGAGTTGAGTGACCTTATAAGAGATCTTCGCTTGTCTAAGGAAAAGGCTGAGCTGTTAGGGTCAAGACTACAACAGTGGAATCTTCTAAAACATGATGTGAAAATATCTTTATAAAAGATATATGTATATAAAAGTTATATGTTTTATAAAAGACAAGCTAAACGACAGCGATCTTACAATGAATCGGATGGACTTAATTGAAATTTGGTGGTACAAACTTCTTTTATTTGTCAAAACACTAAGAATAATGTTTTTTTTTTATTAATTTTGTACTTAAAATATTCTAAAAGAAACATAACAATATTGTTTTATGTACTTTCACTTTTCACGTATAGTATAACTACTCTTCAAGATTAAGTACTGTGTATCTCAAAAACCAGAGCTAATAAAAATTTTTCATTGTTATTTTCGTTTTTATCACCCCAAAATTAGTAGAAATTGACTAATTTAGTGTAGGAAACATTCAAAAAATATTTTTTTGTTGTGTTGTGTTATATGAGGTAGTCTTTCAATATGAGGCAGTTTTCCAACCTTTACAGACTATTTATCATGATCCTTATACAGGGTGTAACATAAGTACGTTAAAATATTCAAGTGACGTATTCCAGAGACAATTTTAAGAAAAAAAAGTCTATATGAATTTTCCGAAAATGCTTTTTGAAAATAACTCTTGCAAAAAATAAGTTATTTGCACGAAATTCGGTACCCGGGGTTCTTTTGACGTGGGAAATCATAATTTCGTATTCATTTTCGTGTAACATCTAGAGGGCGCTGCGTACGCTATCAAATCAAATCAAAATATGCTTTATTACCCAAGATATAAACATCTTATTGGCAAAGTCAAGTAAAGTAAAACATGTATAAGGGACAATTAACAAATATAAACTATAAAATAATGCTTAAACACCGGAGCAGAGTATATGAACAGAACAATATTAAGTCCAGCTGAACAGCTACAAATATAAGTACATGAATTTATGAATATTAAGTAAACGTAAATATATAATTCTACATAATGAACATTGATAGCCATTTTGTGTTGGTTTCAATAACTTGTTTACACAAAGCTACATGTCAATTATTTGATAGATCCTTGGTAGAATTCGTCCACACTATAATAGGGCCTCCCAACAAGGTATTCTTTCACTTTCTTTCTGAATTACTCTCCATTATATATTCACCTTAAATTATTGGGAAGGTGGTTAAATAACTTCTTGCTATTGAAAATAATAGAATTTTGTGTAAGGGCTAGAGAAGGTGTGGGAAGGGAAACGGAGTAAGACTGACGTGTACTATAAGTTGCGGTGTTCCCAAATTGATTTTTATATTTTTTGTGGATAAGACACACTATTTCCAAAATAAAAAGACATACTAAGGTCAGAATTTTTTGCTTCACAAATAATGGGCGGCATGAAACCCTGTAGCTAGCCTTGCATAAATATCTGATGGCTCTTTTTTGTAGAGAGAATACCATATTGAAACGAAATTTTGCACAATTTCCCCAGAAACAAATTCCATAACGTAAATAGGATTCAATTTGTGCAAAATAAACTGATCTTGTGATAGTAGTGTCCAACTCTCTTGCAACAACTCTCACTGCATGACATCCTGCTGCTAGTCTTTTACATAAGTAGTCGGCATGGAAATCAAATTTTAGATTTTCATCAATAAAGAGCCCTAAAAATTTGTTTTTCTCCAAATTTTCAATTTTTACATTTTCCAAGTGTACTTCCCCTATGTTACATCTAAACGTGATCACCTTTGTTTTATCGATGTTCAATGATAAGAGATTGGAATCACACCACTCTTTAACCGTTCTTATGTCGACGATGATTTGATCAAGTAAATTGGAGGCTGTATTGCTATGCCAGAGGATAGTGGTGTCGTCAGCGAAACATGTGAATTTAGCACTTATGTTAACATGGACCAAGTCATTGACATAAATGAGAAACAACACCGGTCCCAAAACGGAACCTTGTGGAACCCCACTGTCAATGAAGCGTTCCTCTGATGAAATTCCATCTAATAGAACATTCTGCCGCCGATGAGAAAGGTACGTCTCAAACCAAAGTAATGCCGATCCTCTAAATCTGTAAACTTCCAGCTTGCGAAGAAGCAGCATGTGGTCTACACAATCGAAGGCTTTGGTTAGGTCACAAAACATGGCCTTATTTATTTCAAATTGCCCTAACTTTTTTGACATTAAACTTTTGGTACTTTTCATGAAAAAACCTAATTCCCACACCTTTTCCAAGTAAAAAAGGTACACCTCCTCAACAACGCTGGAGGTGATCGTTTTCGAGATATTTACAATATTAAATTAAAAAGTGCTACATTTCGGAGTTTATAAAAAAACAGTTCGGAGAAGTACTATGTTATTCATTAGGAAAATAAACATATAAAAATTGAACGAAACAACTATTAAAATAACTGTTCAAAGTGACGACCCCCAACAGTAATACAAGCTTCTGCTCTCCTCCTCAAAGAATTCCGCACCGGTTGAAAAATGCCCGGAGTATTTCTTATCGTTTTGCAGCAAGCTATGACGCGATCCTTCAACATTTCCTCGTTTTCAATGGGGCTAGCATAAACTAGTGATTTTAGGTGTCCCCAGAAGAAAAAAACGACGGGATTGAGGTCCGGTGACCTAGGGGGCTAATGCTCAACGCCTACATCGTTGGGGATATGCTACGTCTAAAAAATTTCTTGCTATCACACTAAAATGACCAAGAGCTCCATCGTGCATAAACCAAGAGTGATTTAGTGCACAAACCATAAGTTGGGGAAGCTCGTGTTCCAAAAAATGTAGGTAAGCATTTCCATTCAAACATTAGGGAAGAAAATAGGGCCCAATTAAATAACCTCCAAATATGCCTACCCATACATTAAAAGAGAATCTGTCTTGGAAATGAGTTTGCGTTATCACTTTATAAACTCCGAACTGTGAATTTGTCAATTAATAGTTAAAAATGTGATAGCGAACTTTTATTTTTATAAACAAACTTTCATAGCCTACTCGATTTAATTACCTTAATTTGCAAGCGGAGAGTGACAAAAATTATTGAAATCAAATTTGGCTATGAAGTAATATGCATCGATATAGAAACTTGTAAATATCTCGAAAACGATCATCTCCAGCGTTGTTGAGGAGGTGTACCTTTTTTTACTTGGAAAAGGTGTGGGAATTAGGTTTTTCATGAAAAGTACCAAAAGTTTACTGTCAAAAAAGTTAGGGCAATTTGAAATTTACAATTATTATACTGGAGAATTTTTGATGGTCTGATTAATGAATTCATAGTTGTTTCCCAACAACAAGGTCTGCATTTCGAAATAAATTAATACAGACACGGGATATTCTGAAAATAGCATATTTCTTATTTTGAAATATTATTTTGAATAGAACCTGTAATGTAATGGAAGGATATTTGTTTATAAAGTTCGATTAAATTTCCCTAGACAAATATGTGTTGGAAACATGTAGGAGGTGATTCAGCGAAGAGAATACTTACAGGATCGTGATTGGTACATACGAATCCAAGCAGATTGTCGTACCGAACGTTTCCCTCAGAATGAGACGGGCAGTATGAATTTATACACTTGACACAACACCTTATCGTCCGTTTCGAACAAATCTTGCAATTGTGCCACGGACAAACGAACTTGTTACCTAAAATAATAAAAACACAAAAACATAAATGTTGTTGAGGAATAACATTGGGCACATCAATCGCTTACCTTCTGGCCACTCTGTCATTTTCAAACACTTCAGGTGGTAAGCCTTGTTGCAAATCTTGTTGTTGCAAGGGCCGACATTGCCCTTCCTACCGCATATGAAACATGGCGGCAAAGCAAGAGGTTTCACAGGCTCCTTTTTTTTGTATGTTTTCTTTGGTCTCTTCGATTCTGTCTCCTACAATGTGATATATTGAAAATAAAACAGTTCAACAACTCTTAAGCTTGACGAGAACTAGAAAGAGTAGTTCAAACTGAAGAATAAAAACTACGGAAGAAAATAGATCCAAGTATTCAACCTTGAGGGACACCTACATCAACGGTTCATCTGAACTAATCAAGATTTCAACAATGTACTTTCATTTGCCTTGATGCAGATGTAATTACTGTTCAAGTCGAGTTGAAATAGAGATAGTGGAACATATTCAAAAAACACTTCAACGCGAGACTTTCACTTGGAAGTTTACAAAACTGTGAGACGTGTTTCGCTATACAGTAGCTTCTTCAGGTGTCACAATACTGACTGCATTAATTCTGCGACATGCTTTTATAGTAATTTGTATCCCAATGACTATTACTGCCTGACAAATTTCTACATGATAAAGTCATTACATAAAATATTTACTTTTCTAGGAACAATTCATTAAACTGGAGAATAATCAATACAAGTTTTACCAGAGATCTCATTTCACAAACTTTCAAGATCTATCCTAATTACCAATTTCTTCATTGCGAACTGAATTCAATGACGGAGAACAATTTAAATCTATTTGATCATTAACCAGTAAATAATCCCCAATTTTTACATCTATTGACCTCTGAACAGTCTAAAACGTCATAATCATAATTGAACTCATACCCCTATGTCAAAAGATGGTTTGAAAATGTTGAACTGGTCTTTCCATAAAAAAAAATACTTCTACGCTTTTTTATTCTTTTTGAAAAAGTTCTTCCGGTCTGACCAATGTGAAATTTGGCACAAGAACCATAAGTCAACTTATATACTCCTGATCTCTCCAACATTAGAGTTTTATCTCTATTGTTTTTAATGAATTTACTCAAATTATGATTTGTTCTGTAGGCTACGTCCGATTCTTTGTTTTTCAGAAAACAGCCGATATTATTCGTAGGATCATCAAAGTAAGTTACAGTTACATAATGTTCACTATCAGCTTTGAAACTGCATAGGCTTGCGGTTAAAAGCTCGTTTCTTAATTTTTTAGAAAGAATTGAGTTAATAATCGTTAGTCCTTATCTCGCACAAGTTTCTCAACTTCTGGGAGTTGTCATTCGTATGGGGGCGACAGCTGAATAACGGAAAAACAGATTTTAAACAGAACAGAATATCCACCTTGTAACCTAGTTGGTGAAACTCAGTTCTTTTTGAAAATTACTTTCTGAAAGTGGAATATTAAATAGTCAGAATTTGTTTAGTCAGTATTGTGACGCCTGATGATGCTACTGTATAGCGAAACAAGTGTCGCGGTTTTGTAAACCTTCAACTAGAAATCTCACATTGAAGTGTTTTTTTTTAAATACGCAATAATGGATTCTTTTCAATTTTTGATCAGTTCTTTCATATTTTCCGAAAGATAATACATATATGCCCTAAAGGAGCTACTTTTAGATCTGAATTCGTTTTGTAACTAAATATTGCTCTTCATCCATTTCATATAGCCAAGTTTATATGTCTACCAGCTTTTGCCTGCGAATTCGCTCACGTAAAGAAGTATTATTATTAATTAGGTATAGTTTTTGCGGCTTTACTTTTGTTCAGCGTGTGTAAAAAATTAGGGCCTGCAGAACTTCTTTGAACACAATATTCTTAACTAATCTGACATTAGGCGCTAAAACTATCAAGCTATTGGGTGAACTTTCTCGTGAGCAAGCAACATAAAACTGTCCATGACAGAAGCAATGTTCTCTCAAGTCAATACCCGCAAATTTGAGAGTTTGCCGCTGAAACTTGTTTAATGTCATGGCAAAGCAGACTTTCGGGGGAAACTGTAATCGTTCAAATTCGAACGGGGTATCATTAGGTATTAATGGGATTCGTGGTATAAATACAGTTTCCCCTTTCGCACACCCAGTTAATATAGTGGCTTCCACTATATTGCGATGTAACGCTTTCACTTGCACTCTCGTACCAGTCTCCGAAATCATGTTCTTTCTACAGCTACCTCCACACGACGCCGAGTAGTTTTCTGTGCTGCTATGGGAAGATAGGCATCAAAATGCCCACCGGATAAATCTTTGCTGAATCGTAATTCACGTATTCGTCAGGTGTTACGTAGTTATCACCATTCCTGTCGTGGGTCATAATTGAAAACTTGCTCCAGTCATTAACCACATATCTGACAATTTATAAACGCACCTCCATCGCTCTATCTTGTGTTCCGTACATTAAATAAGAGAGAGCACGAAACAAACATGCAACGTCACCAACAATAGGAACTACAGAACATTCTTCGACTTCTCCATTAACGTTCAGATTTTCTTTAGCCATTTTAAAAAAGTCTAACCGACAAAACCTAAACTTAAACCAAACGAAAATAACACAAATGCCAAATACAAAGCAGAGTCTATAATCAAAACTACTAAACCGAAACAAAGCAAATGCAATCCAAAATATGCCAAGAAAAGAACAGCCAAAATCGTCAAATATAAACCGCTAGAAATATTTAGGTATAGTATGTACTATTAGATACGGCGGCCACTCATCATCGGGTATGTGTAACTCAGTGAAAAGTGGAAAGTCATCTTTGTGTCGTTCAGGCTTGGAGTCCAGCTCATGGTTCATGACTGATGGTATGGCGGCATGAAGTCCTCAGACATCAGTACCGCCCTTCACGGGAAACCCCTACCTGGCTGGGGTGGGATGGATGAGAAAGCTATTCATCCGTTAACGGGGGACATGAGGGCCTCATTCGACAGAGTGTCGGAGCCTTCTCTATCGAGAGGGGTCGCCTACAGCATAATCTGTGGCTTCCCTAACTAACAGAGACTCAGTGAAAACACAACGATAGCGCGTTTTAAAATACTACTAACGCCATCTATTGTCAACATTCAGAACCAAAAATTATTTTGTTCGTCTTAATTTATTCGTTCCATTAGGTACTGATAGGTTCAAACTAATACATTTACATCCTCCATCATCCCTTATTTTATCCCCTTAGGGGTGGAATTTATCAAAATACTTTCTTAGGGGACGCCTACGTCATAGTAGCTTTATGTTTGCAAAGTCTCAGCCCGATCGGTTTAAAATTGACAAAGTTTCATACAAATTTTCATCCCCTATTTTATCCCCTTGGGGGTAGAATTGATCAAAATCCTTTCTAAGCGGAAGCCTACGTCATAACATCTACCTGCATGCCAAATTTCAGCCCGATCCGTCCAGTGGTTTGGGCTGTGCGTTGATAGATCACTATATCAGTCAGTCAGTCATCTTCAAGTTATATATATTTAGATTTTATTCTGTAATACTTCTATTTTGTTTTATTCTACTTCTACAATAACTCTAATATGACTTGTTTCTTCTGATATTGTCAGAAGAAACAAGACCATATTGATTGATATTTGTATCATTTACCAAAACTCAACAACCCATTTCATGAATGACCGACACTTCATCAACAAATCCAAATATACCGGCACAAAATATATGCTCGTGCTTACTTGCTTGGCTTTTACTCCGATGAATCCGCTGCAGTTTGGCGCCCCGCATCGACAGATCTTTTTTTCCTTTCCGATACACTCCAAGTTATAGTTGAATGTCAGCTCAGTCTCCGCTGGGATGTCAACGGTGGCGAACAGGCCGACGCGGGTGTCCCCGTTCACGGTCCACTTTTGCGTTTCACAGTTCGGTTGACAACAGTGGTTCATGAACCTGGCCACGTTACCTGAAACATAGAGCAAGTTTGAAGATGATTTCGAAAACTACACCTCACGATTTGATCCACACAAAATTTATTTGAAAAATATATACGTTTCGCTAGCACAGTAGCTTTCTCAAGTGATTTGAATACTTCAACTTGTTCTTACATTTATATTTATGGGAAAGAAATTTTTTGGCTTTCTATTACTCTATCTTGATACAAAAAAAGGATGAGGGAATCTTCCAAAGAAAGGAAGGGAGTAATCAATTTGAAAATAAGTAACTCTCCTCCTGAAACAGCTACTTTCATATAAACATTGAATTACACAAAAGAAAAAAAGTCTTTCGAAACAAATACTTCCTGGATTCGATTCCTAAATGTTCTGCCAGTTTGACCAATATATACCTTAGGGCACGTTCCACACTTTAATTTATATACTCCTGATTTCTCGAATTTGGGTGTTTTGTCTTTATTAATTTTAACTAACTTTCCCAACGTATTACTTGTTCTATATGCAATTTTAATATCTCGTTTCCTCAAAAATGAAGCAATTTTTTCCAATGGTTGCCCAAAATACGTTAAATCTGTTTTTCCGTTACTCAGCTGTCGCTATAATGGGGAATGTTCCTCAATTTGGGTTATTACAGCAAATGCAAGTTTGAACAAAATAAAGCTGAGTTCAATTCATGAGTTTTTCAAATTCACTTCGAAAAGTATTCAAATTGATGTTTCAAATGTTGGGTTTTAATTTTTAAAGGGATTTGTTTCTAATCCATATATTGGCAACAGCGCCTATATCAAGTCAAAATAATTTATACGTACCTAGATATTCTACTTTAAAAAAGGAAAATTATCTTTATAAATCAACAATTAAGGCAAAATATAAATTATAGTTCAATACCACCTCCACAAGCCGCATAAACAACAGTTGTTTTGTTATTTATTTATATAGAGGAAAATAGGTTAGGTGCACAAAATGTCATATGTCACAGAATGTCTCGGAACACGGAACATAAGTAAACAGAACAGCACGCCTCTGAAATATGTCATCTTTGTTTGTCTCATACAGGTAACAGATTCATTGTCCTTTATTAACTATAACCGATGTTGCCAAATGGTGAAATAGAAACGAACCCCTTTAAATGTTGAATGCATTATTTCATTCCTCTTTTTTAAGTATTTAAATATTTTTGAAATGATAAGTTCAAAATGCGTTGTTTTAGAGCTCTTTTATGAAAACTACTTGATTTTTGTCAGGAGGAACATTCCCCATTATATTGAGCGAAAAAACCTGAAATGAAATAACAGTGAAATAAAAATAGAACAATTGAACAAAAAATAATAAATAGTTTAGAAAAACTAAAAAACACGCTTTTAAAGAACATCGAACTGAAAAGTTGACAACAACAATAACGTTAAAAAAATACTTGTATTATTGTGAAGAAAGCGTGGACGCTAGATAAAAAAATGGCACAAAGCGCTCACGCTTTTTTCATAATAATACTAGTATTTTTCGTTCGTTGTTGTTTAAAGCTTACTAAAAAAATATTTTCAACTTTTTGGTTGGATGTTCCTTAAAAACGTGCTTTTACGTTTTTTCAAACTATATTTATTTTTATTTTCATTTTTCTTTTAAACCACCTATCAAAGAGGTTACGCACAATTATGTCGACAGTTGCGTACAGCGCCATCTGCCCGCGAATAGATCAAGCAATAATGCCGATAATTCTGCCAATACAGATCCCGAGCTTGAGAGTTACAAACAAACAAACATACATACAGGTGAAGCTAATATAAAGCGTGTGAAAAAAAATTACGAGATTCCAAACCAAGTTATTTCACGACTTTCCGATTGTTGGCATATGCACTCCTCTTCGGGTGACGACTGTCATCAAAGTAATTCACTAGCTTTTATTTACGAGTGCTGCCATCTTCATGCTGAGGTCGGAAACTATTCATACCACGCTTATATATACCAAGTATGTTCAAAAATCCCTTTGCACGGCAAACAATCTTTTTACCTTTCGGTCCGGCATCAATCATCCTATCCTTATCGATGGTGAGGAAGTAGTAATTCTCTTCCTTCTGCTCGTGCATTTTCTGTATCCTCCTTTGGTATTCCTCGTCGTCGATGATCTCGCCGACATATTCCACGACGAACTGACCTTTCTTGATTGGCGCCAGAGACTTCAAACCCCAACCTCTGCTCTGCGTCTTGTACGGGATCATGGGAGGGTATTCGCGCTTCTCGAACGACTGGTTGTTACACCGTTTACCAGCCGGACACACTTCAGGATTGCACTCTGTCATAAGTAACCTAAAAATATTTCATTATCAGTAAATAGTTCAGGTGTACGGTAGTTCAGACCATTTCTTTTACCTATTCAAACAATCGGTGTCGGGTCCGCACGGGTGGGGCTGACTGGGGTCGCATTCGCAAGCGGTAGTGTTGCTCAGATCCAGCTCCATCTGTCGGACGTTTCCAACGGGCTTGTTCACCTTGATCTTGATGTAGGGCGGGGGTTTTTGGGAGTTTAGAGATTCCACATCCAAGGACAGCTTGAATTCTACAGGAGACAAAGGTTGAGTTATTGGGGCACTTTGAAAATTGAGGTTACGTCAACAGAGGGTCACTGTAGAATATGCACGTTCAAAGATTAAATATTGAAGTTATATCAATTCATCTTTTTTATATCAAATAACAATGTGTTTTGAACATGACTCCCGAATCCATGACGAATATTTAACGTCTGTTCAAATAATAAGAAGTACCCAGCTTGACCTAGAGATGGCGGTAGTTGTTTGAAAAATATCACGTTACTAGAAATTACACAATATATAAAGCATAAGTTTCAAGTTTGAAGACACTGCATTGTCTTCAAACTCTTCAGTCAGAGGAACAGAATAATCACAGCACAAGCATATCTAATTATTATGTGAATTCTGGATCGCTGGCTCACAATATATCTATAACAATCAGGGCGCGCGAGAGGGAACCCAATGCCACCACAATTTCGCTGCACAAACACACATCTACGTACCTTTCTTCAACTTATGCACGATGACGGCCTCCTCCACGGCCCTATTGAACGCCTCCTCGACTTTCTTCTTCACAGTAACCGCAGCAGTATCTCCAGCGTCACCCTCCTGGAACAAAAACGACCTGCCGCGGTTCACCCAATAGTGGTCGTACGTGCCGAAAAACTTGACGACAAACTCTCCCCTGGAATGCTTTATGTTCATCACGTTGGGCGGTATCTCGTTGGGGAAAAGCACGAGGCCCGGCCACCACCGGAATTTGCCGAGCTTCACCCAAACGATTTCGTCGTAGAGAGGCAGCCGGCCTGATTCGCAGTCTTCGCATATGAATTTGTCGTCGTCGGTGAGGTTGACGGGCAGGCATTCGGGATGGACGCTCGTAGGGCACGTCTCGCAGCAAATCAGGTTACCACCCTCTGAGAAAAAGAATATATTTATTAGAGTAGCTTTCCCCTACATGCATACTTATATAATACACTCACTAATGAACAAATAAACTTTCTGTTTTCAGTGATGAACACCTTAACAAAGCAATTGGAAAAATGACAATGTTTCTTGTGTCACCACGGCTGTGCAACGGCACGCAATTAGTCATATGCTTTCTTCACTTCAACTCACCTGAGCACAGGAAGCACCAGGTGGTGTTGATGGTGTACCCCTTGTTCTTGTCCCCGCGATGTTTCGGACAAACAATCTGCGTTGTGCTCAAAATATCCGACCCCGCCGGCACGCAGAGGTTCGTCGAGTGGTACGTCGAGGGACAGCGCTGACACTTGACGATCTTGTCGCCGGAGCATCTCGAAGTCGCGGCTCTCGGATCGTCGGAGGCGCACGTGTGGCACACGTGCTGCGGGCAGACGAAGCTGTCGATCTCTTCCTGCGAGTAGCGGTGCTTCGTCGTCTGGATCAGTGACCACTGCGTCTGCGGCCACAGCTTGAGGCACTCCGGGTGGTAGAAGCGGCTGCACTGATAGAGGGAGCACTTTTGGCGGATGTTGGAGCCCTTCTTCGAGATTGACCGGTGGCACACAAAGCAGTACGGATCGACGTTCTCGGTGCAGAAGCCGCACTTGAAGTGCTTTGGGTTGACGTACTTGGAACCTGTAGAAAGATGACATTCGTTCCGTTTCTTCAAATGAAATTTACATATAATGATATGGGCTGCACTTTAGTTATTAGGACCACTCCCACAAAGGGGTGCGGCATATAAATTGAAAGGGGATGAGAGGAACAGAACGGTAAGGGTTTTAGAGCGAGCAAATGAAATTTAATATTTTAACCTAACCTAAAATTCAACAGACCGGTGCTCACGCCCAGACCATCAAAGGCAGTTGAAAGTGGCTTGAACACGACTTGGAAAAACGTGGTTACGATGGTGATTATCTGGCTACACACATGTGCGAGTACCTCCGGCGTCGAGAAGTCTGCCACAATAGGTTGAATCAATTCTTAGAGCTAACTAAATGCATTATAAGTCAATTCAAACCAAAGTGTAATAATATACGAGGGTGATCCCAGAAGTACCCAGCCTGACCTAGAGATGGCGGTAGTTGTTTGAAAAACATCACTGTATTAGAAAGTACACAATCTATAAAGCATATGTTTGAAGTTTGAAGACATACGTTGTTTATTATTTGTTTGGCAGCTATTAATAGCGAATGTGATCCCAGAAGTACCCAGCCTGACCTAGAGATGGCGGTAGTTTGTTTGAAAAACATCACTGTATTAGAAAGTACACAATCTATAAAGCATATGTTTGAAGTTTGAAGAATACGTTGTTTATTATTTGTTTGGCAGCTATTAATAGCGAATGTGAATTTGTCAAAATGGAGAAAATTGATCATCGTTTACAAGAGCAAAATATTAGGTAGCCTACGAGCTGCCAAGACGGATGATACGCCCTCTCGTGGGCGTGGTACCAATAACTAAAGTCCTGCCTACACATGATGATATGACATACTTTATTATCCAAAAAACATCAAGTTCTTATTGGCAATGTAAAAAAAACAACATTTTCAGCACTATAGCCTGTTTTCTAATGGTAAAAAAGAATAAATGCTCATTATAAATGTAAATTGCTGAGTGGCTCGAACCGAATTCTGTGATTTTGTCATCAACAACTTCACCTTACAGTACACGGATCGTCACAGTACACAACAACAACGAAAACCAAGAAAACGAAACATTCAAACCGAATCAACTCACCTTCCCCTACTTCAGAAACATCCGTCTGCTTACTCTGCTGACTCGAATTGCTGTTGGAGTTTTCAGACTGCGAAGTGTCGAGCGACTCGCAATCCGCCGTCACGTGCTTCACCTCCTTGTCGTCTTCGAAAGAGTCTGCAGTTACATGCCCCGCGACTCGCTGACCCTCCTCGGAGGTGTTCGGCCCTTTCGGAAGCGGTTCCTCGACGTCCGAGCTGCCGCTGGTCTGCTCGAGCGTCGAATCGGCCGTCACGTGGATGACTTCCTTCGGATCCGCGGGGGCGCATCTCGCGAACGCGTTCGGGCTCTTCAGCAGCTGTGGCAGGATCTTCAAGCGCTCATCGAGGACCCCGCAGTTTCTCTGAGCCGTAGGCGAGAACAATGAGCGGCTCTTGATGACTTGGCGCGTTTTCGGTGACGGTTGCAAGCTGGGGGACGAGGCTTCGTTGGCGTTTCTCGTTTCTATAGCCGATTCCGAGTAGGTAGTTTTCGACTCGAACTTGTGCATGATCTCCTTCATCTTGTAGTCGATTTGCTCGGCGAGGGTGAGGTTGACGAAGTCAGGCGGGAACGTTTTCCTAGGCGGGGTGTTGTACACGCTGGACGGGACCGTTATTATTTGGACGTGGTCGTCGACTAGTAGGTTGGCGTCGTTTTCTAGAAATAATATCAGTTTTATGTATAATTATAATAGTAATAATTTTTATTAACCATTTCAGAACTAGATTATTGAGAAAAATGTCCAGATTTTCTCCAGTAATGAGTAATAAAAAAATTTAATAGTATTGGTGTTCGAGGAATTATTCATAGATGGTTTGAAAATTGTTTATCTAACAGAAAACAGTTTGTGTGTCTAAGGAAAAATGCCAGTTCATTGAAAACTATCACCTGTGGTGTTCCACAAGGGTCTATTTTGGGTCCAGTTTTAATTTTGATTTACATAAATTCTGTTTCAAAATTATTGTTGAAAGGAAATGTTAAGTTATATGCGGATGACACATCGTTGCTTTACTTTTCTAGTGAAACTAAAGAAGTTTACAATAACACGAAAAATGACATTATATTGCTAACCTCTTGGTTAAATTATCATGAATTGAGTTTGAATTATGAAACTGGTTCTTTAATGTTGATAACTAAGAACAAAATCACAACCAAAGAGAATTTGAGTGTTAACAACAAAATGATTAAATATTGTCAAAACACAAAATTTTTTTATTATTATTATTATTGGAATATCAGAAAAATGTATTTGTATTAATAATAATATGCTTTATTGCCTAAAGAACATCAGGTCTTGTTATAGGAATGTTAGTTTTCACTGCTGGCAGTTGGTTTCCAATTAATCAATCAATCAATATATCCTTTATTATCGAAAAATTAGTATCTTATTGCCAAAGACTTGTAAAAAAATTTAATGCATGTCATAAAATATAAAAAATACGAACATAGCAATTTCACAAATTGAACATTGAGAAGACAGATGAGTTTCGGTGAACATTGAAAAATCAAGTAAAATTAACAGGTTATCATTGTAGAATGGGAAATGTTCCTCAATTCGGGTTATTACAGCAAATGCAATGCATGAGTTTTTCGAATTCACTTTGAAAAGTATTCAAATTGATGTTTCAAATGTTGGGCTTTAATTTTTGAAGGGATTCGTTTCTAATTCACATATTGGCAACAGCGCCTATATCAAGTCAAAATAATTTATAGGTACCTAGATATTCTACTTTAAAAAAGGAAAATTATCTTTATAAATCAACAATTAAGGCAAAATATAAATTATGGTTAAATACCACCTCCACAAGCCACATAAACAACAGTTGTTTTGTTATTTATTTATATAGAGGAAAATAGGTTAGGTGCACAAAATGTCATATGTCACAGAATGTCTCGGAACTCGGAACATAAGTAAACAGAACAGCACGCCTCTGAAACATGTCATCTTTGTTTGTCTCATACAGATAACAGATTCATTGTCCTTTATTAGCTATAACTGATGTTGCCAAATGGTGAAATAGGAACGAATCCCTTCAACTGTTGTATGCATTATTTCATTCCTCTTTTTTAAGTATTTAAATAATTTTTTAAAGAAAAAAAGTTGAAATGATAAGTTTAAAATGCGTTGTTTTAGAGCTCTTTTATGAAAACTACTTGATTTTCATCAGGATGAACATTCCCTATTCATGGATTGAAAAATAAGTTTTTTTGATTAAAAGATCTTTAACTGTACTTCGGAACTTTTTGATATCTGTGCTTTTTTTTGTAATGGTAGGAAGTTGATTTAATACTTTCATAAATCAGAGAATGCTGAGTCAAGGTGAATTTTGGAATAGGTAAGTAAAGCATAGGGTTCTATCTGGTGTTGCGGCAATTTTTTCTGGGAGTGTACATATTTTTGAATATCTATATATTGTTGGATATATATTGTTCATAACTAGTTTTTAAGGCACTCTGCATATAAACTGGATTATCATATTGGTGAATACAACTAGAAAATTATATTGGACATTCTTAACTTGAATACTCTGGCTCATAGAAAATTAGAATCAGATCTTACACCATTTCACAAAATAATCAATGGTAGCATCAATTCCCTGGGACTTGTTGAACAAATTTGAATGTAAATCGAAAGAAAAGAAATACAGAAATCTTCAAAGTACCCTTTTATCATAACAAATATGGCCAGAATGAGTCTATAGGGGGAATTTTGAGACTTGCAAACACAATGTGGATTTAGAAATGTTTCATTCTTCAATGGAATCATTCAAAAAGACTGTGGAAAGATTGTAATTTATAATTGTTCCTACATTTCAGTAACCAGTAATGTGACGTCTGAAGATGCAATCATATAGCGAAACACGTGTCGTGGTTTTGTAAACTATCAAGTGGAAATATCACGTTGAAGTGTGTTTTTTTTCAACATGTTTTAATGAACTTTCATCAAATATCAGTCAGTTCTATCATATACATTTTTTTAGAAAAGTTTTGACTTTCTACTTCTCCATCTTTATACAAAAAAAGTGGGAATCTTCCAAAGAAAATTAATCTCTCTCAAAAAAATGCTCCTTTCAATTCATTTTCTTTCACTCTCAGTTTTTGTTTATTCATTTTTTTGTTGCTGTTTGTAAGTTTTGAATTATTGTTTTTTCCTACTACTAACATGCATGTTTCATGGCAAAACAAATGTCATTATTCAAAAGGAAGTAGACGAACTCTTTGAGACTCAAAAATTCAATTCAACCAGTTACCAGAACGACTGAAACTTACCCTTGTCTTTTTCAACCGGCCCATTCTTATCTCCCTCCTCAAAGGACTCTTCCTTGATATTCTTCTCCTCCGCAGCAACTTCCTCAACTTTGACAGGCACTTTGCTCGTCCTCCCTCTGGGAACTCTCTCCCGCAAAACTTTGACAGCGCACTGGACGTGGTACACCCCGTTGCACCCACCTTTGCACTTCAAGACGTCTCCCAACTTGAAGCAAAACTGACAGACCTTCTCTTTTGAAACCCCTTTGAACAAGTTGTTCCTCTTGAAGAGTGCCTTCTGTGCCTCCAGAGTGTGCGAGGAGAAAATCGCTAGGCTGTCGACACTGGTTTTCGATCCCACTTCTGAAGCGTCATCGCTTTTTTTTACGTCCAACTGGCCGGTTAGCTGCACCCTAGGGGAGTAGGTTTGGTTGTCCTCGAGGTCTGTTTCTTCCGGCTTTGGCGCCTTCTCTTGCTCAGACTCCCTCTTGGGCTTCTTTGCCGGAGATTTGGTTTCCTGATCTGTTTCGTCCGATGACAGAGCCGCTTCTGCGGGCTTAGATTGTTTAGCCTTCTTCTTCGTTACCGTTTCAGCTGTTTTGTTCACGTCATCGGCCGTAACGGTTGAAGGAGGGTTAGACTGCTTAACCTTCTTCTTCGTTACTGTTTCAACTTCATCGACCTTGATATTTGAATCAACAGCAGGTTTCTCAGGTCTAGGAAGTTTCATTCTTTTCTTCACTGGTGATTCTGGTACCCCTTTATTTGCATCTGTGGAAATATTACCCTCAGTCTTGAGGATAGTCTTTGGTTTAGAGGCCTCTTCGAAAAACTGGAGCTTCTCTTTCAAACTCTTTGATTTAACTTCTTCTGCTTCACTCACTGCATGCGACCATTTCTTCAGATACGTTGATTTGACGTTGCAAAATTGCACCTCGGGCCAGACTTTCATCTGAAATGCAAGTATGCAACAGAACGATAAAGACAAATATATATTTGCTTGATCATTTAATCAAAAAACATGTTTTGTGAAATTACACCCTTGCAAATCCCTAAATCAATTGTTAAAATGTATTAAAAGTTGAAAGTTCGTACGCTAACCCATAGATGGCGCCATAATATTGAATCCATATAATATTTAGTTAACCCTAACCTTCAAAAAACTTTTGTTTGAAGAAATGAATAAAAAGGAATTTCGTGTGTTGAAAAAGCACTGTTTTTGGCGAAAAAAAAATGTTGATGACAAAGCTAGGCTTGATAAACATTATTAGGACTTTGCGCCAGGAAAATCAACCGTTGAAAAGTGGTTTGCTGAGTTTAAACGAGGTGAAATGAGAAGACGATGCATGCAGTGGACGCCCCAAAAAGGCTTTACCGACGAAAACATCAAAAAAGTCCACAAAATAATTTAGGATGATCACAAAGTGAAGTTGATCGAGATAACTGAGACTCTAAAGACCTCACAGGAACGTTTTTGACACATTTTATTAATACTTAGGTATATGAAAGCTCCGTTTAAAGTGTGTGCCGCGCCAGCACACAATCGACCAAAAACAACAATGAATTGAGGATTCTGAACAGTGTTTCAAATTATTCCACTATAAAAAGCCCGAATTTATGCGTCGATGTGACAACGGATGAAATATTGATCCAGAATCAAAACGATCGTCATATGATGGGTTAGGTCTAACGTGAGTGGGTCTATTCGACCCTCCACCGCAATCCGCAAGGGTTTATTGTGGCTATAATAGCATATGATGGTGCTGCAAGTGGTGAACCGACTCCAAAGCGTGCAAAAACGCAACAGTCGGCCGACAAGATTATGGTATCAGTATTTTGGGATGCACATGGTATAATATTCATCAACTATCTTGAAATGGAGAAAACCATCAACAGCGACTATTACATAAAGTTTGAAGGATAAATCGCGGAAAAACGACCCAAATTGATGAACAAGAAAGTGATGTTACATAAAGAGAATGTACCGTGTCACAAATCAATGAATACAATGGCAAAATTTCATGAACTGGGCTTCGAATTGCTTCCGTATCCACCATATTCTCCAGACCTGGATCTCTGTGACTTTTTCCTGTTATCAGACCTCAAGAGAATGTTGGCTGGAAAGAAATTTAGCACCGATAAAGAGGCAATCGTCGAAACTGAGGCCTATTTTGAGGCTAAAAACAAAGTGTACTATTAAAATGGTATTGAAAAATTGTATGACCACTACAATCGTTGTGTCACACTCAAAGACAACTATATTGAATAATACAATCAAATTTTCAACTTTTCAGCCAATTTGTTAATATGTAGTGTCTGACAAATGTTATAATTCACCAACATTTTCCGGGTTATAACTTTTTCTTCCAATCTGTGATGTTTTTCAAGTATTTTATGTTTCTATTTTTGTAGCTTTTAATGCTCTTCAACATACAACTGTTTTTCACTTATGACCTGATAATAATTCATCTAGATTGCTGTAGATTGTAGTTCTGTTATGACTATAAGTTCATATAATGACTGTCTTTCATAATTTGATTAATAAATTTGATTTGAATAATGTGTGTATCAAAATAGCTAATATGTGGTGTTTACGTAAAATACTATCTTTAAAAATAGTCTTTGAAATACCAAAATCAAAAGGATAATTTCAGTATGTTTCAGATTGAAACAAAAAGTATGTAGATGAATTCAATTCTACAGATACGAGACAGTTTTCACTTGAAAAATGCACTAAATATGAAATTGCGTGAAATAAGACAGCAAAAGAATGTAGTAACTACATGTAGTATTTTGAAAACTAAACTTGAAATCAAAACTGCTAAAACAATGCAAACAAATATCAATAACACCTAAAAAATTGCAAACCTACTTAATTCTTTGGCAATATTTCTCAATATACTTACGGAAACCTTCATTTCTCTATATATTTTCTCCAAATCATCTTTGCTGGCATAAACCATCATCTTATGTTTGCTGATCCACGCTCTTCTACCTTTATCCCCGAAGAATCTGACGTGGTACAGAGTTCTTGTGGCATTTTTGGTCAGAACTGTGGAAAAAATAGTTTATTACATGTAGAAGAATTGGAAGCACTTTCGATACGAACAGGGAAATCATGATAAACCTACCATTCTTCACAAAGAGCTCTGAATTAGTTTCCTTTGTAATCAAGCAAGGCCAATAGGGAAAGGAACCGATTCGGGCCCAAGCTAATGCCCCAACTTTGAACTTTAAAAGGTTACCTGAAATGTAAAACAGAGAAATTTATTCGTGAGCACAAGGAATAAGCGCAAGACAAAGTCCAGCATCATAACCACCTGAAGTTTATATTTATTGAAACACTTGTTTCAAAAGTATTTTTTCCAGAGGTCTTTTTCTTCCAGTTTGTATCTGAAAGTTATTTCTTTGCACGATCTACGCATCTTTGTAAAGAGTTTATATCAAAATTAAATAGTATCTTCCTTCTTTTGGAAGATTCCTACACTGTTGTATACAGATGGAGTCGTAGAAAGGCAAAACCTTTCCCAAAAAATGATGTTACACATCAAAGTGACGACTCAAAAATTAGTATGTTTATGAATTATGAACATTTACCTCTGATATCTCTTAGGTTATCCGGTTCGGCATTTCTCAGTTGTTTAGAAATCCTCAAAGAAGGAATAATGGTGGGGTCTTCATTCAACTTCGTCTTTTCTTCGGCTTGGCCAGTAGAGGAAATATCTTGGTCTAGGGATCTTCTCCTGGGTGTGCCTCTAACGCTGGGATATTCTCCAATATAGCTGCCCTTAACCCTCTCTCCTAAACTCGTTTTACTCCTGGGAACGTGTTTCACAGTCTTATTGGGAGTTGAAAGGGATTCTGCTTTGTTTTCAACGTCCACAATTTGTCTGGAAATATCAGATAGTTCCGGTTCTTCAAGGGAGAGGTTCTCGTTCAACTTTTTTCGAAGACTCGACCTTCTAGAGTCTTTATGTTCCCCAGAATTGGATACAACTGAGTTTTTTTCTAAACCAAATTCATCTGAATTAGAAGCCCCATTTGTATCTTCTCCAACCTCTGAGGAATCTTCCAATTCAGACAGCTGACTTTCAACCAAGCAGTTATTTCTAGACCTACTAGAAGTTGTTTTAAGATCCTCCAAAACCGGGGTGCTGATATCTTCATTTCCTTCAGTTCTAGAACCAGAATGTCTGGTCATTTCAATCATTTCTTCAGTTTTGTGCCGACTTTTGAGCAAGGAGTTATTTCTGGACCTACCAGAAGTTGTTTTGGTATCCTCCAATACTGGAGTGCTGATATCTCTATTTTCTTTAGCCTTAGGGCCTGGAGGTTCAGTCATCTCAACCATGTCTTCATTTATAGACTGAGTTTCATCCAATGAAGTTGTTTTGGTATCCTTTAACGCCGGAGTATTGATATCTTTATTTTCTTCAGCCCTGGAACCAGGAGATCTAGTCATTTCAACTTTTTCTTCAGTTTTAGGTCGACTTTCAACTAGGGAGTTTTTTCTAGACCTACTAGAATTTGTTTTAGACTCCTCCAATACTGGAGTACAGATATCTCCATTTTCTTCATTCCTAGGACTCGAAGGTCCAGTCATTTCAACTGCCTCATCCACTGTCGAGTTGTTTTGTACACCACAATTTTCATTTGGCGAATTCACCAATGTAAAAGTATCTGCCATGGAGCTTTCGCTGAAATCTAGAGATTTCCAACTTCGGAAGGGAGTATTCTGTTTGGAAGGGGCCTCAAAGGACTTGGATTTGAAGCTACCCACCGACAGACGATTAATGCCTGATATCTTGTAACTTATCATCTCCCTTGGGCGTTTTTTAACATGATCAGCGATGGTATTTTGGGAATCGAACACGCCCTCAAAGAACAGCTGTGAGTGGCTAGAGGTAGAGTGATTTGGTTCGTCAGAAGACCTTGGAAAGGGAGTGGTCGAGAATTCCCTTCCAGCTTCTGTTGGACTAGTTTGCGTGGTAGTGTTGTTGAAGGAGCTAGAGTTAAAAACAATGGCAGTGTCGGATTCTAGCAATTTTGCCACCTCCCTAGACATCGCAGGCTTCTCTGTCTTTGCTTGTTTTCTGGGTCTTCCACGTTTCCGTTTAGGTTTCTCCTCAGGAAGCTCATTTTCTAGTATTTCCCCATTGAGCCTGGGCTTGGGCAATGAAATCTTGTCTTCTGAAGGTTTTTCCAACTCACGTACCTTTTTAGGCCTGCCACGTTTCCTCTTGATTCGTTGATCCAACGCAACATCATCCAAGCTAGTACTTTCCGATTGTTCACTATCATTGAAAATTTTCTTATGTGAAACGCTACTAAGTCCATTCAAAGCAAACTTCCTAGAGTTAGAAGCAAGTAATGGATTCAACTTTGGTCTGCTTGGTTCTAACTTTCCAGATTCTTGTGACCTACTCTGCCTCGTTTGTCTGCATAGCCAGCCACTTTTTCCAGAATTTCCTTTGTTTTTCCGTACCCTACGAGGGATTGAACTGGTGGGTATTGCCACAACTACAAGTTCTTCTTCTTCAGCTTGACTAGAATCATCTTTATTACTGGAAACCCCATCAGTATCTGTTGTTTCAACAAAATTGGTTGCCTTATTAGTTTCATTTACAGATTCTACATGGTCTATGCCTGACCCAGACATTTCTGAAGCTTGTTTCTCTTCAGGGTTAGTTTCTTCAGGGATCAGTTCTTCAGAGGCAGGTTTTTCAATGGTAAGTTCTTCAGAAATGACTTTCTGAGGAACAGGTTCTTGAGGTAGAGGTGTTTCTGTTTTATTTTCTGTTGAATCAGGAGGAACTTCCTTCATGAATGAGACTTCTTCTTCTTGTAGGGCAGTGGAATTATTTTGGTCCTGTGGGATTTCACCTGCAATATCTTCTGCTTCAGTTGCAATTTTGCTCATGAAATCTATGCTGGTGTCATTTTCCACTACTTTGCTGGCAATTTCCTCCTCAGCTAACGGTTCTTCTAGTCCCTTATCAGCAGCATCTTTGCATGAGTCTTCTAAAATAGTATCAGTTACCTCAGTAACTGAATTCATGGAAGTTTTTGATTCCCCTTCAATCAAAGCTGAATCAGTTTGGTCTTTAGTAGGAGATTCCTCATCAGCTGCTGAGCTACCACTATCCTTGGGTATGTCAATTATGATTTCACCTATTCTAGTTGGAGTAACTTCTTCATTACCACATTCATCTGCTTCAACTGCTTCATTACTTTCTTTCATCAATTTTGTACTCTCAATGGTCTTTGCTTGTCTACTAATCTGTAAGGGCTCAGATTCCTCAACATCCTCTATTCTAGGAGGTTTGCTTGAAGGAAAAGGTGCAGTATCCTGCACTGGCAGTATATTTGATTCTTCCTTCTCCAGGAGTGAATCTGGAATCACTGGTTTTTCTTTCAAATCACCATTAATCTCTTTTATACCTATTAACTCATCTGTCAATTGATAACTGACAGTTTCCCCACTGTTCCTGTCATCTTCACACAACAGCTGAACTTCATCTACGTTATTTTGAATATCACGTTCGTTCTCCTGGAGTTCTTCACAAATCTCGCTAGGGAAGTCACTAATGAACAACTCAAGCTGATTTGCCTCTTCTTCATCAACTTTTTCTTCAGGTTCGATGGTAGGTGCTGGTTCTGGGTATGTTTTACCGTACTTAGCATCCATATCTAAGCTTTCAGAAGAAGATGAGCCGTCATCAAAGATTTGCGGAACCCTCTCTCTTATCTTCTTAGTTTTTTCAACATCTAGCAGTTGAGTGGAGTCAGTTTTCAACTCATTTTCCATAGCTTCTAACTTTTTTTCACTGGGTTGTGGTAAAACTAAATTTTCATTGTTAGATACAGAATTATCTTCAGTACTGACTAATTTGCTAATGGTAGTGTCATGTTCCGTTGGAGAGGAGGTTCCTGGCAGTTCTTTGTAGGAACGCAAGCTTTTTCTGGTGCTATTAAGAGGGACTTTCGCTTTGACAAAGGATGGTTTCAAAGGGGACAACAGAATTTTCAACTGAGGAACATTTTCAGCGGTTTTCATACTGTTTTCGGAGATTATCTTTGGAGGATCCTGATTGTTTTTTGCAACAGCTTGGGAATTTTTGCTTTTTCGCCGGCCGACCTCAATTTTTCTGGTGATTATAATATTTTGTTCAAAACTATCATCATCCTCCATAACATTCTCTTGGCTCAAAGACCTCAACCTCCTTCCGAGAGAAGACTTCACATTGCGGTAAGGTATTCTCTTCACTGGACTCGTCGCTGACTTTCTTTTCAGGGGAATGTCTAAACTGGACTTCGATCTGAGGATTCTTTTGGGAGTTGCCAAAGTTTCATCGTCAAATTTGATGGGTTCATCGCTGTTCGGTATCCTAGTTTTTGGTTTGGACAAAATCTTTAATACTTCTTCATCTATACTTTCGTCCTTATTGGAACTGTATTTCGATTTAAGACTATAATCTATGAGTTTAGAAGAGCTTTCATGAGGAGGAGTTTTGTCCTGCAACTTACCCGAAGATCTCAGATTCTGCCGTATCTTAGAAACAACCTTCTCCGTTTTGTGAATATTCTGATTCTTGCAAGCTTTCGTGGGAGAAAGCCGGTTAGTTTTGACACTAGTAGCACTATTAGTTCTCGACGACATACTGGGTGTATTGAAAATTTCTACCTCGCTTTCAGTCAGAGACATATTTCCATTACAAACAACTTTAGGCAGGTTTCGACATGGTTTAAAGCCAATATCATTCGTGGGCCTCTTTTCGCTCAATAATTTCCTTATGTTGCTCTTCATTGAGTCAATATCCACTTCTTTTTCTTTCTTATTATTTGACATATCATTTGTTGAAGAAATATTACTCTTGGACCTCGTTTCGACTCGAGGGGTGGAAGTGTACACAAGATCATTATTCTCTACGTCTTGCAAATTACCAGAGGGATGTCTGATTTTAAAGTGTTTCTGCGGATCAGATTTCACCCTGATTTCCTCCAAATCAGAGAAGTAGTTGCTTTCGGGGGTGTTCGTAATGTTCCAAGGGCCATCGATACATTTAACATCTAATATTGTGATTTCGCTTGCGTCTAAAATTTCTGTGTCTAAAACATTGTTAACTGAAGGTCTTTCAGGAACTATAGGGGTGTCTGGTAGCCCAAAACTTTCAACAATGTCATTTCTCAGTGCGGATTTCCTAGGATTCGAGTATGTCTTCAAACAAGATTTTGGCTTTGAATTCAAGCTGTTTAAACTAGTTGGTTGCGACAACATCTTCAACACCTTTGAGACATCTTCTGGCTGCAAACTGCTGCCCGTAGCTATGTAAGTATTGGATGAATTGTGTGTATCGTCTTTCTGACTATCGTTTATGCTTAGTTTATTAGAAACTGATGAATGTATATCTCGAGTCCCCAAACTATCATCCAACACTGACTGGAAAGATTCTTCCTCATCATCGCTTAGATCAAAAAGATTTTGTAACTCGCCATGAAGACTATTTTTACCACCGTTTTTAGTACATTCTTCGTTGATATTGTCCTGATTAGAATGAACTGCTGGCTTTTTACTTATAGGGTTGCTAGGTTTGGGGTAATCTTTAGTATTTTGCAGTCGGGAACTCCTACGACTATTTCTGGAGTAACGAACCCCCGAAATTCCCGCTTTTGCATTTCCATTAATGTTTTTTCTAGTTGATTTTCTATTTGAACTCATCTCTTTTGCAAATTACAGCAATTCTGAAAAAAGTAGGGTTAATTTCAATTCAATTTTCCGTTATATGTCTCTCCGAATACATTTTATTACAGAAACACTTGATAAATTCGGGTTTGAATAATAAATCAGTTGATATATTTCAATGTTCATAACATTTGATGAACTGTAGAAAATATTGGGGGTTTTTAATGATCTACAGAGAGAAAACCCCTGTTTGACTACCTTCCAACTTATAAATTCGATGAATAACTCTCAACATTATAATATGGGGAGATAAAAACCATTTGTGCTAATTTCACTAATAAAAAACCAGCAACCAGCGAAAAATCAACAATCAACGTCTAATCCCCGCTTGATTATTGTTTCCTTTACTATTTACCTTTTACTTCACCTAAAATTTTCTTCTTCTCTTCTTCTCCTCGTTTCGCGGTGTCCCCCCTAAAGACGGTGACATATACCAGCTCACTCCCCATTACGCGACACTTGTTTCATAAGTTTGGGGCTTCGTCAGGTGGAAGTAATTTTCAATAAAACTTGAATTTGTTCAAGATACCTGATGAAAAAGTGGTATAATACAATAATATTTGAGCAATATTAGTCACATATATTCATTTCCACGTTTTAAGTTAAAATTATGCTCATCAGCAACAATGGTAGATAGTGAAAATTTAATTATTGAAGTATTTTCATTGTTTACTCTAATTGAAGTTATGAGAATATGTTTCCAGAATTATTATTCAGATCAAATTATCAATTACTTAGAGCTGTTTGGATCTTAGAAACGGTGGTGATTACAGGACTTGTTCATCCGCCTTATTTGGAACGCTTTCTAGTGAGATAATTATTGGTTTAATAATCGAGATCGTTATACACTGACAAAACCCGACCTCATGTCGTCTATTCTTGTACAGTGATAGAGGTTTGTGTAAAAACAGTTTGCTGATATTTCGCTCCTATTAAACAGAATAGAAGGGCATCTCTCTGTTTTTTTGACAAAGCTCAGTCAGTGGGAATTGGAATAGCAGAACACAGTTATTGCATAGCGAATCACGTGTTGCTTTTTTGTGAAACTATGTAGTGATAATCTCACAATGAAGTGTTTCTTGAATACGTTATGGATTTTCATCAAGTATCGTCCTAATCCATCAAAAATCAAAGAACACATACAAAGAACAATAAAAATGTCTTATGTCGTTCTGTAGTTGACAAAACAACGCAACTTTCGACAAATTTTTATCTAATGTTATCATATCGCTGTCCCTCTTTGTTCAAACATCGTCACAAAATCTGTTACATTGTGATTAAAAGCTGAAATCTCGATCTCGCAAGTTGGTGTTGAAATAAGTGTTTATTGTTAAAAAAGATAAGACATTTTCTGTGTGAATGAAAAAGTCCTGGTTTGTAAAAATGCTGAAGAAAAAGAAGAAGGAAGACAACGTTGAGCCGAACATATTGTCCCCGTAAGTATATAACAAGTAGCAGTTTTTTCTGGATGGATTCGTACTGTTCAAATATATAACTAAAATATTTCTTAACGATTTTTTATGAAATGCAAATACCTACGGTTCAAAAAGTGTTCTCAGATAGTCTTAATATATAGCCTTAATAAAGAGGATCCATATTACGGTCAAAATTAAAAATTAACATATCAAACTAGGAAAGGGGATTGATATATCAAATTAAATCCGTTCATTAATGTTAATTTTATTTTGAAATATTTTTTCATTTCCTTTCATCTCATCAATAATATATACATTTGATATGGAATAAAACTATAACAAAATGAAATGATCAAAAAGAAAGTTTTGGGAATAATTTTTCGTTTCCTATCGTCAAGTGCATCTGATTACCCACACTATCTTATCAACATATTATTTATAAACATACACCATATATATAGATTTGATAACGATTTATCATAGTTAAAATATTCAGTAAACTAGACCGCACATATTCTTGGAATTGATTATCAGTTTCCAAATTGTTAGTGACATAAATCCTGATGAATTTTCGAATTATGACACAGAATATTATAATGAAATAAGGTATGATAAATGAAAGATGCAAATGTTATCTTCCCGGAAGATAATTCGTCTTGTGGTATTTTTGTTGTAGCCCCAACTTAGAAAGGTCATCCTTTGCAGATACAGGAAACACCATCTTTCAGAGGTATAACGAAGAGAATTATTTATTCATTGATATTATGGACATATATTTTTCAGGAGTACTTCCTTTCAAACACAAACATCCACGTTTTCCTCACAAACAAGTGTTCAAAGAGTGGAGACTAAAAGTAAGTATTTGAATTTGTAAAATGGCGCCATTTTCAAAAGCGCTGCCAACAGCTGTCAAAAATTGACCAAAAAACATTTTCTGGTGAATTGAAGTTATTCATTTTCAGTTACGCTGCAACTATAGTAGATAAAGATGATATATTTTATATATTAGTATACAGGGTGTTTCCTAATTGTGGTGAAAAATTTTAGGGCATGTCCAAGAGGTAATTTTACGAAAAAAGATAATAAAAACATAGACCCAGAAGAGCATTGTTTTCAAGGGACAGGGTGATGAACTTTTCAGAAAAAAAATTTAATCTCCGTTGCGAGTTTCTAGTGAAATCGAATTCGTTTTCGGAAAAAGTATGTTTGGAATAGTGAACATCTTGAAGTGGATGTGGAAATTCATCATATTCAGCTGGAAGGAAAGCATGAAATAGCCAATAGACTCACTACTATAGGTGGTTTGAGAAATTGTGGAAGTGTTTAGGAGTTTATTTAAGTTATTCGACGTTTCATTGAATCAATATCACAATAAATCGTTAGTATTGATTAATAGAAAAAAATACGAGTTTATCGTGAGTTCAGGAGTTATTATTGCGGAACTAGCAGAGTTTTTTCGTGCTAACACGACGAAATGACTGTTTATCATCCACTCTTCGTGACTTTGAATTCAAAATGTGTTTTTCTGTTACCATGATCCGATTCTTAGTGGGAGTTGGACGATTCGCATCGAACATCGCCCGTCCCACATACTTTAATATGAATATCTCTAAAATATTTCGTGAATAATAGTTCCACTGAAATTCTCTCGCTATGAATTTAGATAGAATTTCAGTTTCAGCTCGATCTACTGGGACGCCTTTTCCTTTGACCCAGTCTACCACATTTCGATCAGTGGAAAACACGAGCCCGACCACAAAACAACTTCAAATTAGAAAACCATCGCTTCAAATCGATGCCAGACCTTTTGATCACAGTATTACCATAGGTCAACCATCCACCAGAACTATTGGATACCAGAGTCCTTTTCAGAGATCTAGTACTGTCTATTCTAGTCTGCGTACAACCACTCCTTCTCAGCAAAGAGTAATTACACCAGCACCACCTTCAGTAACGAATGGAAATGAGATTTCTCAGAATAGAGATCCTAGAATTCCTACTTACAGTACCAGTGGGAGAAAAAGAGGTAAAGCGTTGATAATAAATAATATAAAGTTCATGAAGGACAAACAAGAACGCAAAGGTGCCGAGGTTGACGAGAAGAGGATGTCGGAGATGTTTAGGAAGTTCGGATTTGAGGTTAAGGTTTACAGGAATCTGAAACGAGCGGTGAGTTTAGTAAAATTCCATCCACGCTAGATCAACTATCTGAAGTGAAAATCGTAAATGATAACAATCTCCAAGGAGAGTAGAAAGACTTGCTTTCATTTGTTACAGGAAATGAATGAGAAATTAAACAAATTCATATCGGACAAGACGCTCGCCAGCGTCGACATTTCTGCGGTAATCATGATGAGCCACGGCCATAACAGTCACAACGGAAAAATCATACGAGGCGGTTACACAGAGATTGTGGGCATCGACAATGAAAGTTTACCCATAGACGACGTCATTGGCAGATTCGACTCTGGGAAATGCCCCGTGCTGATGGGAAAGCCGAAAATATTTATATTCCAGTGCTGCAGGTAATGTATTCTCAGAGATATAGTCAATCGATATTTTGGCTAGAGATTTTGTGAGCACAGCCAGGTTGCTAAGCTTTCAAAGAAAAAGGTTAGTAGACCTAAACAGAGGTCTAGAGGTTTATCGGTAATTCAAAGTATTCTATATATACAAAGTACTTGGGAGTTCATCGTTTAGATGCAACATTTTCCGGACATATTGAAACTAAGCCAGGTGGTAAAACAAAAACCAAAGTCCTGGCAGCTGTTTTCATATATTATTGTGGTTTCTTGTGCTTGCAGTGAGTGGGAGTGATTTATTTCATCTATTCACCAGGTTCCTATGTCTTCAATAAATGCACTAAAAATACTCACAAAAATTCACAATTGAATAACTCAAAACACAAAAAACCACAAAACAATAAACATAATCTATGTTTTAACACCTAGTTGTTAGCTGTTTTGTTTAGCGCCACCATCGGTAGAAATTCTTCCCTATACAACTGCTACGGGTATGATTATTAGGTAGTTCGGTTTTGAAAATCTGGAACCGAACGAGCAGATGCAGATTTGATACCACTTGATCTCGGAGTCAACGGAGCGATTCACATTTTAACAAACGCTCGATTCTATCTGATATGACAAGTTGACATTTGTGATACTACTTGTTATCACGAAACATCTGAGCTCGGTTTTCATATGTGATCTAGAACAGAATTGATAATTTTCATTTTGAATTGCAATAAAATGACTAGTATTCGAGAAGGCATATGTCAATGGACTTCGAAGATAGTCTCTGATGATGAACAAGAGACAAAACTGTTACCAAAAGTTATTAAATTTTGCAAAAAATACCTTAAAGTGAATCAATTTTTGAATGTGACAAGTGATAACTGAAAAATCTGATCCTAATGATGATACAGAACACAGCAGATGTAACAAAGACAAGAGAATATAAGAAGAAGAAGAACCTAGCGTCATTTGAGGGACCTTCCAAAGCTTTCGATACTGACGGTGATACCCACAGAACTATAACTCTAAGTTATAGTTCCGTGGGTAACTCTCACTTATAGTTCTGTGCACCACATCATTAGCTTCAATGGAAAACTTCAAAAGTGCTCACGATTATTTCATGAATATAATATTGTGTCTTGATAATGAGAAAATACAGGATGTTGCTCTTTAATTTCAATCACAACTCAATTCTGGAATGAAGATTAAATATGGACTCTACGACACAACTGGCGTCAAAATCAAAGGGATATGTCGGAGTGACTTACACGGAACAACTCGTCGCTACGCTTTACAGAAATAATTTGACTCCAGCTCCGAGTCGTAACGATTTTCTGTTTACCCGCTACGACATGTCTGCAAACAAGTCGTTACGTTATGTCGCGTCGTGTAAACCTACCTTACTCTCTACTGACTAGCCTTTGACGTTTATGAATAATTATAACACGAAATTATTTCATCTCATTTAGACTATTCGGGGTTTTTATGTTTTGTTTTTGTTATATTCTCTAGGGATCCTCGATCGATAAGACACACTAGTTTCCATGATGTTTAATAATTTAATCATGACACAACTTTACATATCAAGATTGTCGAACGGAATGAAATCTCAGTCAAAAGATGACAATCTACTGTCAAAAAACATAGAACATGGAGCACGAAATACACGATACAACAGTTTCTGCGGCTATACCATTTTTTGTCTGTACATTTTTGAAGACTATACAATTATTGAATTGTTGCGCAATAGAATATACTCTACTCTATATATCTTGTTGAATTTTGGGAAAATTCAATTGTATTTGTATTACTATTCGTGATTATTCTAACGAAAAACTGAATTTTACATTTTCAGTTTTGCGAATGATCTAACAATAATTTACGGCGATCCTTGTCGAGGTAAATAATGTTTTTGTTATTAAGGTTAACGTTGTTAATTCGTTATATCTCGTGAGCCCCTTTGAACTCTAGAAATTCTGATAAATAATCGTTTTTCAGGGGAGACAACCAGGAAGAAATCCACGTTGATGCAACCCCTATAGTAAAAGTAACCAAACAACATGCAGATATGCTTATTGCATTTTCAACGCTACCAGGTAATAATAAAAATATAAATTTGATTGTATCCCATCGCAGTGTCTCATCAAAATCACACATTATACTCTATTTTTCCATTCTCTCTCTTTTTAATTTCTATGGCCAGTGCTTTGAGCGCATTTGGCCAGGCTCCTCCTTTTCATGATGTACAGAAGCATCGTCCTATGGCGCAGCGGTTTTGCTCGCGGCAATGCTATCACCCTAAGTTTTTTCATTCGCTTTTTCTTTCAACAAAAACACTTTATTTTTTACTGGTCGGCTCCTTTTTGGGAAGCCTTTGGATAAAAATAACACAAATACACATGTTTATGTATTTTATAGAAGTGTTTACTGGCGTACGGGGCCACCAGTCTTCTCATCTTTCACTTCATTATTCACCAAAACGTACCTTTTTTTTAAATGAAACTTCATTTTTATACATTTTCTAAATTACTTGCGACCATTGCAAGTCTAATAACAATGTTCATTAAAGGAATTTGATAATATAAACTCTTTTTGTTAGTTTATCTTCATGATAAGATAATATACTTTTTTGAGATATTTACTTAGATGATGACATGCTCCCACTCATTAGGTTTGTTCTTGTTTTAACATTCGAAAATGTTTCGAGCCGAGCAGAACATGATACGTAGAAGCAAAAAATCCAAATCCTTATTCATTTCAGGTTTCTTTTCTCTAAGAGACCCAGTAAGAGGTAGCTGGTACATTCAAAGCATATGCGATGTATTCGAACGGCACGCCAAAGAATTCGATGTGGAAACTCTGCTTAAAATTGTCGACGAAGAACTGTCTAAAAAACACCCGCAGTATCAGCAGACGTCGACATATGAAAGCCGAGGGTTCAAACGGTGTTATCTGAACCCTCTCAGTTGACAAACTTCGAGAACATGTCAAGAAAATAGGGATGTTCGATATTAAAAAAGCATCGATGTTGACATCGAAACAAAAGTAACGAAGTACGATGAATATCGAAAGGAAATATCGATGTTTTTTTAGATGTAAGAATAAACATTTCAAAAATCAAATTTATTCAACAATATTAAGAATCCCATTCCAACCTTTTTCTGTTATCTGAAAGCAACAATACCACTCAAATTCGCAAAAACAGCGTTCAAACTCGAATCACGAGTATCCGGCTCGAAGGACCAAAATTATGTTGAGTATCAATGTTCGTGGACTGTATTTCCTGTGACATGAGTTTGAATGTTGTCCTTTTGCGCGATTTTGGTGAATAGAGAGAGCAAATATTTCTAATTGAATCGAACTGTGCTTACCTTGACTATAATGCAGGTGTTTTGGTTTCAAATCTTGGTGGGCAATATTGTTACTCTGAAGACATCTCACAGGAACACCCCCTCTTATGTGTCACTTTGGCAGCTTCTCGATCGACTCGTATCTTCTCTCGCCCTCCCAATCGTTTTTAACAGAAAATCGTATACGGGGGGTGCGCGATAAACTCACAAATGGAGGCAAGTACAGTAATAACGCGGACTGGATATTAAAAGTCGAAAACGCTAGAGTGAGAATAAAAATAATAATAAATCAAATCCAAATTAATGGTAAAGACGGAACACTATGTGTGACTTGAATGTTTTTGTTAAACATCGATGTTTCTTTAACATCGATCATCCCTACAAGAGAAGAAATTATGTTATTTTTCTACAGCATTGCCACTAAGACAAAAATGCATTCATTTACGACATTATGATTATTAGTATTTATTTTTCTTTTTAGGTTAAGAATACGGTTATTTTTGAAAAACACTTTCTGTGTATTGAATAAAAAATTACTTCTAACGGTCAAAGTTGGCAAAAGGGAAACATTATTGGATGTTTATTTCAAAACCAAACGAAAATCATTATTTATTATTTGGAAATGGGATCGATTTCTAATTTAATACGTCGACGTTACCCAAAATTTATTTGTATCCTTAGAACAATAAAAGGACAAATCATCGCAACAAATACTACCAACAAGAGATTGAATTGAAATAATAAAAATAATTAAAGTTTTTTATTGGAAATGCCTTCATTTTCATGATTTTTTCAGATCTCATCAGATAAATTTACTATATGAGAGTTTTCCACTGGAAATCTTACATTGAAGTGTGATTTTTGAATACAAAGAAATTAATTTTCCTTCCTTTCCCAGAATAGTAATGTTCATTCATTGCTGCAATTTGTATTTTTAGTGTCTTGAGGATGGAATAAAGTTTTCCAAACTTTGACAGATTGGAAATTTGACAAATGGAAAAACTAAACATTGGAACATGAAAAATTTACAACATGGCTGCTTGAATTGTTTTATTAAATAAAGAAATAGTAGTTTAAACTCAAAATTCAAGCCAATTTCTTACCTTAGCCAAAAAGTATCTCTTGCCAGCCTTGATGGCTTTTTTTACTGTACTGTGGAACGGACTTTTAGAAATTTTGTGGAATGTTCTTTAAAACGCTGCATTTGTAGAATTGAATAAATTTTTTACTTACCCCCTGTATTATTTTTCTTGGAAACCCACATAAAATTCCCCTCCCCCTAGTTGGGAATTTGAGCAAATCTAGTAATGAAACTACCAAAAAATACTGTTTATCAGTTTTATTGTTACGCTAATGATTATGTACAAAATATTCATCAATTTCATTGACGATATAAAAAAATGCTTGTTTGGTACGTTTTTAGGAGTATAAAATGAAACCTTAAAAAGATAAAAAGCTGTCTAACGCTAGTACCAACGGGGCGATGGAAGTACACAAAAAATGGCACGTTCACTACAATTATTTAAAAATCTTTCTGAAAGGCTACTTTAATTTTAAAAATAAATAGTGCGATGCTATGTACAGGTGCGTAAATCTTAAAATTACTTCCGTTCAAAATCACTATTTGGTTCACGCCTCGTAAAAAAACCACCTTTGGAACAAAAAGAGGTTCTATCAACATCTATCTATCAACTTACAAGCCCTACAAACATAATCTTGAACTCGAACCGTATCAATAGTTCATAAACGTCTGGTTTCCTGAGAAAATAAATATTTTACCTTCGGTTAATTATATGAAGCGATATACATTAAACATAGAACTTGGTTGATACCTCGACGGATATTGAATAATATTCATTTGAAAATAAGTGCGAGGTTCAACGTGATGTTTTATGTGAATTCATTAAATTGAACCTCTCTGTGGTATTACAAACCGTTTCAATTTTTTGAGTATTCTGTATAAATTCGTTGATTTTTGAATGCTTGGAAGTTGTCAAATTATCCACTGAAGAGCTACTGACATTCAAAGTAACAATTATTTTTTTTTTAAATTTCTTTGCCAGTACTGCATTGGAAATGATTAGCAACAAAAAAAGAATGGGAGAAATAATACCTTAAAAATATTATTCAAGAAAAATATTGAAGATTGACTTCCTGAAACTTTCTCCAGTAAATAAATTTTGAAATCAAAATCGCTTTTGACACAAAATAAAAAAAACATATAGTTATTTGTCACATCATACCTCACAGTTGATGAAATTAACACTTTTAACTTGGAAAACCTACCATTTTCTTTGAAGTGGCTTATTATTATCATTGAAGTGTGTTTTTTACAAAATTCAAGCAGGGCAATTAGAATTTGATCACGTGCGATGCACAGTTCATTTGTTTTCGACCCTGTATACGGTAACTTTCAATTTCAGCCTCGGTATTAGTCAGGAAAGTATCTGTTCCATAATATATTGGTTTCGTTTCCAAGTGACATGAGTTAATTTTTTTTTCAACTGAATAGTGTTTTCCAAAAAAAAACCTAAACTAAGATCGACTGATAGCAAATAGTATAGTATATACGAAGTCAATTCGAATGGCATAAAAACTAAATAGTTACCGAACGTCGGCAGTTTCTTTTTATGGCATGGGCGGCGCGGTATTTATACGAGGTCTTATCATTATTTTTATGTAGGTTTTATATGGTATTAACTAGTAAAATTACCACACCCGGTACATTAGTCTTTCATTTAGCTGTTCGGATTGACTTTGTATAGACTATACTTTGTATTTGAGAAATTGTGAGTATTATTGTGATATTTTCTATGAAGCAACTGAAACAATTCACAGTTCTTTTTAGCAGGCATGGTACGTTTTGTTTGTATGTTGATGTATCACATAAAATTACTACAATGCTATTATCAATTCCCAGTCCAAACATCTCACTTTACAGCTTACTAGAAGGAATTAGTTACATGCACTAATAAAAATATTGGAAAGCTATATAAAAACCTAAACCTAGAACCTCCGATCGCATTTATCTTATCGACTCTAATTATCACACAGATTCTGATTGGAACCCCCCCTCATTAACAAAGCCTTTCGAAAACAGCAAGCTCGGCAAAAACTAATAATAATAACATTTTCATTGTTGCTACAGACATAAATTCTCCATCTAGTGGTCCCTGCTTTTTAACGGCATCTCTACCTGAAAAGTTTGTCCTCCACCAGGAAATGAGATGTGCTCTCTTAAATAGCAATACTTTCACAGCAGGCCATGACGTGGTACAATGTCGAAAGCTTTGCCGATGACTTCAAATATTTCAACAAAAGAGTTTTCTCAATGAAGCCAATATCAGAAACAAAATTCGACAACTGCAACTCTCATTGAAAGTAAATATAACAGTGAAGTAATATCAATTATATTTTCCATCAGTTCGTAATTTTCGAAGCATTGGAGCAAAAAATATTCAATTTTCATAGGTTACCTCGACCAATCTGCTTCAATCAAGTTTATTAACTGTGAATCGTCATTATTTTCCAAATCCAGGTATTACGTTTCATTTGGTATGATTATCAGATAGGTATAAGATCAATCTGTGCTTTGGAAACTTTTGTTAGTTCATTTAGAGAAGAAAAATAAATGAATTCATTTGTTTTATAGACCCACTTCATGGAAAGTGAAGAAAAAGGGTCCCCCTTTATTCACGCCGGTACCCAGGCCGGAGTGGTTCGGCTAACCACGTATGTGTAAACAAAAAAAATACAAAACGTCTCCTGAGAAGGAGGCGACTTTACAAAAAACTAAATTTGTGTTGTTATAACAGAAAACGTTCGACAAAAAAATTTGGGTGTCACCATTGCTTCGAGCAAGATCGCTGCGCCCCCTGACGAAGCTCCCGTTAACCTTGACAGGTGGAGCCTGGCCAAATGTGTCCGAGTGAGAAGCAATGGTGATTAATAATAGAAAAAGAGAAAATTCAAAGTGAATATATAAAAAAAAAGATTTGAATAGGGAATATGCAGACAATTTTTTATTTTTTTTATTCAATATTCACTTCATTTTGATATAGAAAAAAAACATAGCTGTAAGAGTAGTAATTATTTTTTCATAAAATCTTAAAAATATTGGTTTACTTTGACAAGTTCAAACGCTCCTATTTCTCGCGCGCTTGTGGCGTGACGTCATAGGGCACGTCCTGTCAGTTTATTGTTTACATTGAGAGTTAGTTTGATAGTTAACAAGGTGTTTTAGTTTAAATATCGCGTAATAATCATGGAAGAAGAAAAAAAGCCATTTTATAGATACTGCATGGTACCAATGTGTCCGAACACTATAAACAGTACACCAGATAAAGTTTCATAACCTTAAAGTCCATAACCTTATTTACGTATGTCAAACAATGAATGTAAACAACATTTGAGGTTATATTGAGGGAAATAATTTTATAAGTGCGTGTATGCATAAAAACAGATTTACTAGATTAAAAATACCATGTTTTACAATAATTCCCTTGCAGCTTTTACTCCCTTAACCTCAGCAGATGCAAAATCCGGGTTTGACGCAAAATATGTGGTCATCATGAATGCATCTATTTTTGGAAGATTATTCGACTGTGCTTTCACAAAACCGTTGTCCGTCATTGCTGTTGATGACGCTCAGTATTTCTTGACATTAAAATATTAGAAAACTAAGCTAGAATAGCAATACAACCAATTTTTCTCTCCAACACAACCTGAATGTATGAAAATAAATCACAGGTGACTGACAGGACATGCCGTATGACGTCACGTTTCATTTCGACCTATGGTGGGGCACTTTACAAATTTGAATTTCGCTCGTAAATTTTTCACTTTTTGATTCATGTTTTAAATAATTAAATACATATTAAATTAGAAAATAGCGAGTTGAGTATAATACTAGGACCTTGAAAACTCAGGAAATGGTTACAGTGATATAAAATAGATGATACAATTGAATTAGTGGCATTTCTAGTGCAATATTGGTGGTGGCAGTTGCTTTCCTCTATTTATTTTGATACGTAAACAACATTTATGTATGTAACTGCAGCAAACTGTGTTCAAGAACGATGAGTGGATATAGTTTTTGTTGTGTCTAATAGTGACATCTCTTGTCCGAAAAGAGAACTACTTAAAAGTAGTTCTATAATCGACCAAGAGAGGTCAGCACCCGAAACAATAGGAATGCTTCCTTGCCTTTACGTATCTGATAACCATAACTAATTATAATAACACTTGAATTTCTGAAATAATCACAGCTGGAACTTGAAAATTATGAAACAACGCAAGTTGTACACTTAAAAATCGTCGAATTTTTTACAAGAAAAACCATAGGTTGGCAACATTGACAGAACTCCCATTAGCTGCCTACGTCTAGCAAAGAAGATGGCAATCCTGCTTTTCTCAAGTCGCTAAAAAGTTATTTTCAATCAGACATCTGACAATTGCGACTGTTTGTATAAAACAAAAAGATAGGCTAGTTAGTTCTCTAGTAATTTGTAAACAGTTTGCTTTTAAATTTTCATACGAAGAGCAAAATTCTACACGAAGGAACAAAAGAAATATTCTTCATTATATACAACCTAAGGTAGTTGTTGCGTTCGAATGGGACTTTTTTTTCACGTGCGTTACAAAGCATATACTTTTTCTGTTTTTGAAAGTTTCCTGCCTCCAAATTGAAATAATTAAGTGAAAGTTATTAGAAAATAATTCAACAATGACGGGAGAATTGTCAATGAAAATTTCGAAGGTACTGAAAAGAACGAGTTGGAAAAATACTCACCAAGTATATCTCAACACAGTTAGTAGCCTGAATTCAGTTGCAGAAAACTGTCTTACTGCCTAAAAGTACTAACTACTGGGCAAATAATACTGGGAATGTTGAAACATGGCTCTACTTGCACCAAAGAAATCGACAGCTCTCAAAGCTCCAAACTATCACAGAACTTATACTTTTGTAAACACAAACAACCGATAAGTAATTATACAAAGCACTGATATGTAATTCATCTGCAATCGATTAAAAAAATAATTCTCTCTCAAATATATTATAGTTAAATTACATTTTTCAACGAAAGAGTATAAAGAAATCAATTAAAATATACGATAATGAATGAATAATCTCTCAAAATGTCTTGTCTAACTGATCTGAAATACAAGGTGTTTGTCATGTCATTTCTAGGCCAAAAATAACTGATTTTCTTTGATGCTTCTCGCGTACACATTATACTTTACATTCCGATCTACAAAGTCCCGTTTCCTGTGCTGTTGATACTTTATAAAGAATTCTGTATCAAGTATTCACGTATTTGACAACTGGCAGTAATAAATTTGTGACCAAACGTAATGATATCAATAAATACAATATTGATCTGGCTCGAAAGACCATTTTTTTTTTTTTAATTTACAGAGTAACTCCAACGAAAATCGAATGACATCGAATCCACTTTCGTTTAAACGATGTCAGATAAACCTTTTTTTTCGTAATATAAATATAAAATGTATCTAAACTGAAAAATAATATTAAAAATGTACAAAAAAATAATCAAAAATGTTATAAATTCATTTATGATGAGCCTTATATCACAGTTCAAGCTTGATGTATATGGTTTAAATATAATAATTAAAATTGTATAAATATAATAGAAAATGTATAATGTTTCAAAGTAGATCCCGATTTGTCAATCTCTTCAATACCCAAGAAAATTTTGTATTCTATTTGTATAATATCAACACCGTAGATTTTTAAATAAAGATGGCCTAAAAATGACACAGTCAACATCGACGCCCTGTATTTTATAAACAGTACAAACAGAATGTAGCGAATCTTTTCGTTACATCTTCCAAAAAAACACTTCAGACACGAGAACCTGTTACTTTACCGAATAACTTCTGAAAATCTCAGCCTAAGCCACCCCATCTAACGAACCGAAAAAGAAGTACCTCAAGGTTCCTCCATGGGACCCCCAACCTCCGCCATCTACACCAACGAGTCACCGTGAAAAATTGCCGGTCATAAATTGATTTGAATAATGAATAAATCATCGTAACATTGAAACTCGTCTTGGCGCAAGCAGAGCCAGAAATTTTGAGCAATGAAAATGGTTCGATCGAGAACTTTCCGCAATGAAGTTAACTTCATTCACTGAATACGGTCCGCGCTTCCGCCGTAGAATTTTGTTCGAGCTCCCTCAACATGGCCGCAGCTTTGTCGGGGGGTACTGTTTCGAAGAAATTCACGGAGTCGCTGTAAGTGTACTGACTGGTGTTCTGCTTGAAAGTCAGCCCCAGGACTATGTTCAGTGCTGATGTGTCGTAGCTGTGACAACCTGAGTACCTGTAAAAAAAATTTCATTCTACTCAGAATCTAACTGATACTTTTCCAAGGAAGTACTGCGGTTTCCTTGTAATTTACTGTTTACATAAACGGTAAATCTACTACAGTTTTTGCCTATGACAGTCTAGTACAGTCCCATAATAGTAGGCACTAAATTCTCAAAAATAATAATTTATTTACGGGTAAGCCCATTTAAAGTATAAATTACAATGTTAAATTATAATTAAAATGATTTTTATTGTTGTTTTTATTTTATTTTTATCGTTGTTCTAATAAAATCTCATTCTGTAAAAAAAATAAAAATTAAAACATTATTGAGCATAAAATTAAAATAAAATCAGATAAAGTACTGAATTACAAATTCCAACTAAGATTAGTTCAAAAGGGGTAGATTTAAAGTTTAAAGATAGATATTTATTTGATCATCTTTTGTATAAAATACATTCTTATTAGTCAGTGGGCTATGCTTGAAGTCTGGCAGTAAACAAATCTAAGGAAATGAACTTTAAACGTTCAAGCCAGTCTGTGATATACCTACACAGTAGGTTTTATGGACTGACGCCTGTCAGAAAACAACTACTCCTCTGGCTAATACCACGAAGGGCATTGGATTATATACGACAGGCGTCAGTGCAGGAATCTTCACAGAAAATATCCTGCATATGCAATTGGCAATACAACTGAAAGAGTTGACCTTCAATTATGGAACGGGCACACTTGCAGACCGGTTTCGGGCTTATTAGCCACTCATCAGTGCAAGATAGTGACCATCATCGACCAAAAGTCAATGATATTCCACAAATTCTTTCAGAGTATTTCATCTCTTTTCCGAAGTTGGAGCAAACATCACAAAATGTCACTCCATCTAGTGGACGAGCTACTAACCAACTGCATATCCGTAATTTGCCCGATTCCTCTGAATCTGCACTGCACTGATGAGTGGCTAATAAGCCCGAAACCGGTCTGTAAAGGGGACTACTTTTAGTGTTTTTTAAACTTGGTGTGTTGTTAATTATAAAGCCTAAAGTAGAGACCAGAAAAGTCTGGTGTCGCTAAACACATCTTAGAGAATGAACATAGAATAAATAAACACTTACACAACTGTTGAGATCGGAATGTGACACTAGACTTTTGGATGCTTTCGTAAGTCTGGAAAGAACTACGAACAGTGACACTGTATTTTATTGTTAGCCTTATTTTTGGTATTTGTTGATGACATTTTTGATGTTTCTGACAATATGATTTACTCCGTTTAAAATTAGAGAGAACTTTATACAAAAGACATAAATCATTGATTCATAACCAAAGAAATTATAGGTATTACTAGCTCACCCGACACGCATTGTGTATTTCTATCGAAACAATAACACAAATAATATTGATCCCTTAATGCTGTGGTGTGTACAATATTATTTGTTAATCCATGTTTATTCAACACAAACAAACTGAATAGTTTGCCCAATTGAGAGCATGCCACATATAACTGTCCCTGTGAGAAACGTGGTGTGCTCAAATACAAGCCACAAACTGACATTGTTTGGCCTTTGGACTTATTAATAGTTATTGCACATCTGTAGGTATATAATAGGAATTCGTGGTATTGATATATATATATATATTCACCTCGGAACTTGCCGTTTGAAATTTCGGCTTCAAGAACGTATTTCATTAACTTTTCAATGCCTAATAGCGTGCCGTTGCACAGCCGTGGTGGATTCAAATTACGGAGCGATACAACCTATTCGAATGAAACAATCATCATCTTTTCTCACCTGTACTGCGGCTTCTTGTCAAACCTGCAGCCAGCCGACTGGGCCCCGATCGGCATGATGCAATCCTGCGTGAGGGCACACTGCACCCAAGGCAGCATCACGCTCCGATGCACCCGCTCGGTGTTGACGAGGAGCAGAACGTCCGCCTTGACCATCTGCAGAAACAGAAAGTTCTCGGCGTCCGTTCGGAAGTACTCGAACATCTTCTTGTGGGTCAGGCTCGAGACGGGGTTCTTCAAGTCGAAGGGCAGGGCGAGGACGCCCGTCTCTTTGGCTCGATCGTCGTACAGTCTGGCGAGCACGTTCTGCGAGATGTTCCTCAGCAGTCGGTAGTTCGATTCCAGGAAGAAAATGGCTCCGGTGTGGTGGAGCGCGTCCTGAAACACGTTCGAAAGATAAAGGACAATAATTTTGTTCATTAACGGATTCAAATCCCATTTTTCCCGATAGGGTCCGTTCGAGTATAAGGTAAGCACTATAGGGGAGGCGGGGGGTCTCTGCTTTGCTTATTGTTGGTGGAATGGGGGGGCGTGGGGGGTTACATTGTAATTACATCAGCAGTAGTTATTTACTTTTCTACACATACGGCAACCCACTCATTGTCTATGTTTGAAAAATGCGTATAACAATGTTTACGTAAGCACAGGAGGAGGATAAGAGCTTTGCTTACTTTTGCTGACAAGGGGATGGGAGTGAATAATTGTAATGAACACGTTTACGTAAGCATGGGAAGGGATAAGAGCTTTGCTTATTTTTGTTGACAATAAGGAATATAATTGTAATAAATATGTTTACGTAAGCATGGGTGGGGGATACTATCTTTGCTTAGTTTCGCTAACAAGGGAGATGGAAGGGTAAATAATTGTAATAAATATGTTAACGTAAGCATGGGAGGGGTATGAGGGCTTTGCTTACTTTTGCTTACAAGGGAGATAACTAATTGTAATAAATACGTTCACATAAGCATGGGAGGGGGATAAGAGCTTTGCCTAATTTTGATGGCAAGGGGGTAAATAATTTGTAATAAATATGTTAACGTAAACATGGGAGGGGTATAAGAGCTTTTCTTACTTTTGCTTACAAGGAGATAACTAATTGTAATAAATACGTTTACATAAGCATGGGAGGGGGATAGCTTTGCTTACTTTTGCTGAAAAGGGGTAAATAATTGTAATAAATACGTTTACATAAACATGGGAGGGGGATAAGAGCTTTGCTTACTTCTGCTGACAAGGGGGTAAATAATTGTAATAAATATGTTAACGTAAGCATGGGAGGGGTATAAGGGCTTTGCTTACAAGGGAGATAACTAATTGTAATAAATACGTTTACATAAGCACGGAAGGGGGATAGGAGCTTTGCTTACTTTTGCTGACAAGGGGGTAAATAATTGTATTAAATATGTTTACGTAAGAATGAGAGGGGTATAAGGGCGTTGCTTACTTTTGCTGACATTGTAATAAACATGTTTACGTAAACATGGGAGGGGGGTAGGAGCTTTGCTTGCAAGGGGTCTAAATAATTGTAATGAATACGTTCACATGAGCATAGCAGTGGGATAAGAGCTTTGCTTACTTTTGCTGACAAGGGGGTAAATAATTGTAATAAATATGTTTACGTAAGCATGGGAGGGGATAAGAGATTTGCCTACTTTTGCTTACAAGGGGGGTGGAGGATGAATAATTGTAATAAATACGTTTACATAAGCATGGGAGGGGGATAAGGGCTTTGCTTACTTTTGCTGACAAGGGAGTAAATAATTGTATTAAATATGTTTACATAAGCATTGGAGGGGGATAAGAGCTTTGCTTACAAGGGAGATAACTAATTGTAATAAATACGTTTACATAAGCATGGGAGGGGGATAGCTTTGCTTACTTTTGCTGACAAGGGGTAAATAATTGTAATAAATACGTTTACTTAAACATGGGAGGGGGATAAGGGCTATGCTCACTTTTGCTTACAAGGGGGATAAATAATTGTAATAAATACGTTTACATAAGCATGGGAGGGGGATAAGAGCTTTGCTTACTTCTGCTGACAAGGGGGTAAATAATTGTAATAAATATGTTTACGTAAACATGGGAGGGGGATAAGAGCTATGCTTACTTTTGCTTACGAGGGAGATAAATAATTCTAATAAATACGTTTACATAAGCATGGAAGAGGATAAGAGCTTTGCTTACTTTTGCTTACAAGGGGGTGGGGGTTAAATAATTGTAATAAATACGTTTACATAAGCATGGGAGGGGATAAGAGCTTTGCTTACTTTTGCTGACAAGAGGGTGAATAATTGAAATAAATATGTTTACGTAAGCATGGGAGGGGATTAGAGATTTGCTTACTTTTGCTGACTAGAGGGATGGGGGGTAAATAATTGTAATAAATACGTTTACGTAAGCATGGGAGGAGGATAAAAGCTTTGCTTACTTTTGCTGACAATGGGGTAAATAATTGTAATAAATATGTTTACGTAAGCATGGGAGGGGGATGCCAGCTTTGCTTTCTTTTGCTGACAAGGGGGATGGGGGGTAAATAATTGTAATAAATATGCTTACAATACTTGAACGGCCCCATACAATAAACAAATGAATGTGAGGCATTATGCAACAATACAAATAAAGAAAGCAAGCATAGAAAACAATTTGAAACAAGTCAATGTTTCAAAATACAACTCCATACAATGGGGCCGTTCAAGTATTACGTAAGCATATTTATTACAATCCAGAAAACTCAATCCTCGAATATCAAAAATGAACAAGGATTCCCAATAAGGATTTTGAATCGTTTACAATGAAGAAGTTATCAAAGATTGACACTCAACTTGGATCACTCCGTCCAGAATCTAAGCTGAGTCAATGTATACAGACACTTAAGACTGAGCGATGATTAATAATCGTGATTTAAAAGTTATCTTGAATGGAAAATATGTGGCTCACCTGAGATATCGTATGTAGGTACATATCGTTAATTGAACAGATAATTGCTAGTATGAATCATCACTGCCTTATCAAAATCAATAACATTATAATACTGAAAAATGAGAATTAAAACTTCCTAAGTTTCTATACCGCTTGTATTTGTAACTGACGTTACTGCAGTATTCGTTTGAGAATGTGTTCAAGTAACATTTTACTGTGAAATTATCACTGGACAGTGTTTCGCTATTCAATATCTTACTCAGGCGTGTTCATACTGACTGAATTCTACCTAAGTAATGCTTTACATAAGAACAATTTGAATCACATTACCGCTTCCCTGAAGATTGAGTTTCAAACATTTCTCTCCCATAGTAGTCTTTAAACCCATGCATATCTATCAGAAGATGGTTGCAAATGTGGAATTGGTCTTTCCATTCAAGAAACTAGTTATATGCTCTTTAATTCTTTGGGAAAAAGATCTCCCAGTTTGTCCAATATAAGGTTTTTGACAAGCAGCATATATATTCCTGATCTCTCTGACCTGAGGTTTTGTCTTTATTGTTTTTAATGAATTCTTTATTGTATTATTTTATGAATTCCTTTAAAAAATCCACATAATAATATAAACAATTCTGTCCCCGCTTCAAGAGGTTTCTGATTCCAACTGATAAACAGGCAAAAATTTGAAGAAAAATAATCGAATTCAAGGATGTTTTTGAGGACTTTCAAAGATTGCCAGTTTCACGTATTATCTAAAGCAACTATATATACATTTCTAGTCGGAGAGATGATTGTAAATAATGTTTGATGCGATGATAAGAAATATTGATTCATCATAAATTTTGGTGATTTATGCAATGTTAGCATTCACAAAATAGTGAAAGATAATAATGTTTGATTAGGATTTGCTGATTGCTCAAGCTCCACCATATCACATCCTTTCAAACAATGCAATGTTTACATTTTGTCTTCACAAATAAATAAGTCACGTTCCTGAATTTATTTCAATATTTACTTTTAAAATGAAGTGTAAACTCTTTATTGCACTGTAGACATTATGGCAATGTTTGTGTACCTCTCTACAAATGGTAATTTTATTTTCATCAAAGACTACGGATAAAACTTGAATCAACAATGTTAGCAATTCACCTGTCACATGATCCCTCCAGAATTTCCCAGTTTTATGTCAATTCGACTAACAAATAGATAATAGAGAAAAAATACTTCAATTCTATATTCTGAATATTTATTATTATGCTCTTATTGATCTTGAAAAAAGAACCTTTATTTATATTAGGAAACAAAACAATATCAAAACACAATATCGCACTGGTACAACACAAAAATAATATAGTGCTGGAAAAGTAGCAAATAATTAGCCATAATGCTGGAAAATTCAAGAAAGAGAATATTCTTAGAGATACAAATAAATTTACCTGTATAATAAGTGGTCGGTAAGCATGGATCACTTCGTTAACGTGAGACGGGAATAACGATAAGTCGAAAGTTATCACTTGGCATCTTGTGCTGTTGCAGTAATTTGTGAGCTGAAAATGTTATTGATAACTTTATTCTACAGAGTTGATATAAATCCTGAAAACGATCCGTAAGTCAGAGACTGACAATAATTCACAGAATTCGACCGAGTCAACTGGGAATCTTCATGGATAACAAATTAAAATTTGATCAACATATTTCAGCTTTGAATAAAATATTGGCAATCTAGATTTTTTTATTAACTTTTTAGTGCCTACATTAAAAATACATTTTCCTGATGTTAATCATACAAATGAGATAGATCGAACTATTTACTACCAACAAGACGGAGCTCCACCGCATTTTGCACGTACAGTTAGAAATTATTTAAACAAGGTTTTTCCCAATAGGTGGATTGGAAGACGTGGAACGATCGAATGACCGGCTTAATCCCCCGATTTGACTCCTCTCGATTACTTCTTATGGGGTTTTTTAAAATCTAAGGTATATTTCAATAGACCAAACAATATTGCTGATTTAAAAGTTAGGATAAAGGAAGAAATTAACAAAATAACCCCCGAGGTCTTACAAATGTTGTAGGAGAATTCCAAAATCGCCTCGGCTATTGTCAAGAAGTTAATGGTGGTCATTTTGAACATTTAATTTAATTGTAAAGTACATCGAAAAATACATTCTAAATATTATGTAGCATTATTATCTTCATTCTACGTAAAGTTTTGTGATACCTAGAGACATTATCAAAATTTTACATCCTAAAAATCAAGTTTCTCAGTTATGATTGCACCAAACTTGAAAAACTTTATATTGCTGAACAGAGGACTAAAATCCCTTTCCAACAGGTGCCTTTGCTATTTAAAATTTTCGAGGGGGTGCTTATAATTCAGAAGGTGTGCTGGAGGGGGATAATATTTTCATACTGTAAATTGTCAATTTAAGAATAAAAATCGACCTGTTTCAGGTTTTTTTCTCATAGTACATAATAATGCTAAAAATGAATTTATTCCATACATATGGACCGCAGTGTATGTTTTTCTAGTTGTTTATATTGGCACCTATACTTTAAATTATTTTTATACTGGGATATACCTTATTTTATTGCCATGACATGTGAACTTATGTTCAAATTGTGTATATTTGTTTTTTTACATTTTTTGAAAGGGACTATACAAACTATTTTGTCTACAAATTTTGTTAAATTTTATTTTTTATTGTTATATTTTATCTATTAGATATGTGAACTTAGTTTTGCTAAAATTGTGTTTCTGGGTATTTGTGTTTTTGAATTGTTTCTTTTCTTTTATTCTTTGAAGTGCTATATATACTTTGTTTTTTAACAGTGTTTGTTTATGTGTTTGTATTTTCTTGGTTAATTAGGTCTTTGTCTGTCTGTCTATGTTTGCGGAAGTTATTTTATACCTTCTCACTTGTTTCCGTTTTGCGTTCAGTTTGGTGCAATTCGTCAGTCACCACATGTGTTTGTGGTATTTTGTTTGTTTTTGCAATATATTTTTTTTGTTTGTTTTTTTTTGTTTATTTTTTGGGGATTTTTCAATTCTCGTTCTTGTTTTCTCTTGGTGGATGATGCATCGCTATGTCATGTAGGCTTTATTAGTGTTTCTCCTTGTTATTGCCTTTCTTTTGCTTTTTGGTGTGTCTCGGTTTGTTCATTGTGGCGTTTTTATTTATTTTTTTTTTTTTGATGGTGTCCGGACCTGGACATGTTTTTCACTGTACCTTCTTCGCCCTTCCTTGTTGGCTTATTTTCTTTACTTTGCCTCCTATGTGTTTTACGCCGATTTGAGTTGATTTCTTTTCGTCATATCGGTGTTGGCTTCATGTTTATGACTCGTTTGTTGTAATTTATTTGTATCATGTATCGTTTCTCACGGTCTGGCTTGAGGTGTCTTACGTCTGGTGAACCCAGGCTCATTTTGGTTCGTTTGTTTCTCGCATGTGGGTTTTTATGTTATTGGGATATGTTTTGTTTCATATGTCATTGGCCTATTTTAATTGTTTTGCTTTCGGTATGTCTTTTCATAGATTCTCGTACCAGGTGATGTTTTGCTTTTTATTTTTTTTTTTTCCACGTACAGGTTGTAGCCTAAGTTTGTTCCCCTGTTGAATTACCGTTTTCCTGCGCCATTTTTTAATTGGGTCTTTTTGGCTTTTTTTATGTCGTTTGTTTGTTTTGTTGATTCTGTGTTTTGAAATTTTTTTTTTTTTTCGTTTTTTTTTTCAATTACTTTCGTATAAATTGTTGTCATTTTTTTACCGATGTTTGGTTTTTTTCTTTCCGAACTTATTGCTCTTTAGTCACAAGTTTTTTTGTGTTTTTTTTACCAAAACTGTCTCAGAAAAACGTCACTTGAATATTTTAAAGTACTTACGTTACATCCTGTATGAGTGTACGATAAAAAGTATGGACTTCAGAATAACAGTTCTTTCATAATAAACTTCAAACTCATTTGGTTGTTGCATTACTGTATTTCTGAAATTTTTACATCTGTCCACATATGCAATGACTGTTGAATGTGCAAGGAATTTCACCAGAATCTGTGAGAGAAATGAGATGTTTCACGGACCTGTCACGGAAAAATTATATAATGATAATTTAAAGTATTGTGTGTTCTGTTTTATGGAGCTGGTGATGATTTTATATGGGCAGGATATATTTGTCCACATTTTTGTCGTATCAAAATTCAATTTTCAAAAATGTTCAGCTTGTACAGTGCCTTCGGCAATTTTTATTGATTCAAAACAGGTTTACTGAGAAATGAAGACAAACAAACAATAACATCCATCAAAGTATACAGAGATACAGAAAAAATCAGTAGCAATATTTGCGAGGAAAATAAAACATACAAACATGAATTAATGAGTCCACTAGGAATGCAAAAAGTTTATAGAAACTAAAAAGCTATAATATTGAAGAGGTGGTTGAAATTTTCTAGTATTACATAGATATAGTGATGAGACAAAATGTAATTTTCAAGTGGAGGAATTAGGGAGTTCTTTTTCTAAGAACTATCTTCAGAATTGGAAAAATCTAATGATTCCCGCAGTTTTTTCTATGGTTTGTTTTATTTTTAAACGTCCTCTATAGATGTCATCTTATTCTTTTCAATATATTTTATATGATAAAAGAACCTAATAATTGGACAAAAAACCAACTCAGATCCAACTCTGGAAAGTGAAACGAATCTATGAAAAAAACTTTCTCCACGCCAGAACAAAATACTGTGTCTCAACTCGCAATCCAGGAGTTATTTTAAAAAGTCTTACTTCAAGTTTGTGTTACCTAATATTGAAAGTTTCATAAGTGTTTTCAATAGACCTACATACTGTTCACCTTTCTGCAATCTGCCAATTTTGACACCACAAAATACCTGAAGGGGCTAAAGCTAAAATGTAACTCACCGTTTTGTATCCTTGGTCACTTAATCCTAAATTGTAAACTAAAATGGTATTATTTGGTATGATTTTTGCCACATTGATTATGAGCCCTATCGCTTGGCTCTCCAGTCCGTCTCTCACATAAGTAACGATGACAGGCAGAGAAGTATTCCTCCAGACATCATTTGGAAAAAGTTTTGGCCTCTCCACGAAGCCCAAAAGGTGCAAGTACTTCTCATCCGCATTTAGCGTTTTTGTTTCTGCGTCGAGCAGATTATCCTACGAATTTCAATAACAAAAGAAATAGACAAAACGCAAATATGTATAAATACCTTGAAAGTCCGAATTTGTTTATTTGTAGTTGTCACTATGTATTCAGTCTTCTCTTGACCAAAAATGACAAAAATTAAGCTCAAACTCAGTACGCCTCCCAACGTAAGCAAAAAATTCTTTGTTCTCATTTGGAAACGACTGATATTTCAAATTTTACATCGAAATTATTTGATTGATTCACATATCTCTTCAAGTATTTTGGCCAAAATATGCACGATGGGTTATTCTTTTCACATCGAATAATAAACATGTATCCCGCATATAACTGTAACCGGTCATTTACGTTTTGAAAAAAAATCACCTGACATTTAAAACATATTCGGCAATTTTACGAAAAAAAAATCTAGCTGCAGGCAGATCAACACCAACGTACAAAACAACAATTCGAAATTGACTAAACCCAATTGACATCAGAAAACGATCTCGAAATCAAAATAGTAATGAGTGTCTAAAAACAAACATCTGTCCTGGACAGGTGAGCTCATTGACAGTTCCCTTTAAATTCTATAACTCCGACAGAGCGTCTGTGCCCCTGTAAACGGAATGCCTGAATACTGAATATGGTGAATCGCTTTATTTTATGAAGTGTTTTGGAGTGTTTACGTCAAAATATTTTACAGATGAAATGATAACACTATGGTATTTCTATGCTCCTTGGCCTGATAGTCCCATGGAGTCATATTAGCCAGCAGGCTGTTATAACTTGTATATCTCATCCATACCTTGTATTCGATATTGGTAAATCGATGGTTATTGGCAGTCTCAGTCTCGTACTACCGTAGCTCACGATCTCATCAGAAACGCCAGACCTATGTCATTGTAGCAAAGCTCATAATTTGATTATAAGTAGGATGTATACATATTTCCTTGCTGGGAGCAGGATGCTTCTATAGATAGTAGGCTATCTTCAACATCCTAAGCTGGGCTGAACAGACAATAAAAAAGTGTATTTGTTCGATGTCTGTTATTAAGGATGACAGTGTTCCATGTAAATGACCTTTTATCTCTTTCATCTACTATTTTGTGTAGCAATCCTATAAGTGATATCTGATTCAATTCTTTAACGAATGTAAGGGAGTACAAACTGAATAGGATGAATGATCGTATAAAAGTTGTTGTTCCTGGAGGGTTTTTTCTTCGAGTTGATGTCTGACATTAACTTCTATGCATGATTCACACAACTTTGCGAAGAGTTCATTTTGAAATAAATTGTTTTCTTCCTTCCTTTGGAAGTTGCCCACATTTTTGGGGTAAAATTTGAAAAACTACCCAGTTCTGTCCACATTTTGTTGAAATCCTTTAGTGACATCATTCAAATATTTTTATAAATTTGATTAAGAAATTTGTTCGTTCCTTAGACATGGATTATTACCTCTTAACACCTTCGCTGGTCACAAGCGAAATAAATAAACCAACTTCAAAAATATTACACGAATAATTCTCATTTAAAAACAAAATTAGATTACCAAAAATTACTAATTCAGAACTCTGATACAAGAAGACCAGTGATTTATATAAAGTCTGTCTGAAAATATATAACAAGTTACTGAAATTCACGCATTACCTTATCTTTTCCTCCGTGAATAATCCATGGGTAGAGAGCATTTGTCAATATGGCCTAGAGGGGAAAAAAAAGAAGAGAATTCGTTTTAGGTTATGTTCGACATTTGACATTAACATTGACATTTGGATGGAAGCTGTGTTTTTTAATAAAACTGACACAGTATTTCTGTATACTGTGTAACTGATCTCATTTTATGTTAGTATAGTGAATGTTTATATTTCTTAACAGTATACAATGTCTGGAAACGAATCTGCTGACGACCAAAGCGAGGATGGAGAGCTGCGACAGAGTCCGCCTGACCCCAAACATAAACAAGAGCAAGAAGCTTTAGATTTCAGGCAAGTATCAAACTTTTGTTCTATATTTCCTCTGTATACAATGTTTACATATATCTTCTTTTCATGTTAAAGTAATGAAAGGGTTTTGGCTAGCGATACGCCTGGCATTGCAAGTGTTAAAAATTCAGTTCCTATTTTTTACTTGCTGCATAAATACTTGAACAAGAACTGACATTTTGGCACAACGAAGTTTATTGTGACAATTGATGATTGTATTGCAATGAAAATATTATTATTATTGTTAGTTTGTCTGAGGAAGAAGGCGAAAACGTGGACTCGTTAGATATCAAGCCGCCCCAAGCTAGACTAGCTGTTCCTCCGAAAGCGAAAAAAAGAGACCATGACAGGAGAAAAAGAGGAGACCGCCATCGAGAAGAAAGATACTCGCACAGGGAGAAACATCATAGGTGAGTTCCATAGAGATGAAATATACGTATTACAATTTCTTTTTATTTCCAGAGACAAATCTGGACGAGCTGTCAAGGATAGAGAACAGTACCAGAGAGAAAAGGAACGGTACTACAGAGAAAAGCAGCACTTTGAACAGGCAAATTACGAGGGCTACCGAGAAAGAAAAGACGATCAATCACGTTCGAGGCGACCTGAATCCCGCAAACACGATGACAAGAAATCCAAAGAGTTGAGACAGAGTCGCGAAGGGGATAAGCACAAGCGAGAACATTTTGAGGAAGTGAAAAAAAATAGGGCTGACCAAGCTTTGAACGATTTACGGGAGAGATTGCTCAGCAAGAGGTCCTCTAAAGGGGAAGACGAGGGGCGTGGTAAGGAAAGGTCTCACAGAGACAGAAAACATAAGGACCACCACGAAGATCTCCTGCAGGGTGAAGCTGGGATGCTGGTCAAGGAAATAATTAATATCACTACAGAGGAAAAACGGCACAGGAAAGATAGGGATAAAGAGGAGGAGAAGTTGACAGAAGAGGAAAAGGCCGAACAGGAACAGAGGAGAGAGAAGCTTCTGGAAGCTGGTTGGTATTGTGTTCTTAGTTCTTGTATTTTCAAATTGGACTATAAGATATTTATAAAATGTATATTTCAATTACATAGGATGTAGAGGAACTTTTATACTATTAGTTAGAAAAGGAAATTAGTAGTCATCAGATGATACTAACTTGGATAGTAAAATGCGAATAGATAGACAGTGGTGGAGGTTCTTATTCTGCCTAATAAGTCTAAACTAATTATCAAAAATATATATCTTTTGGTAACTCTCTTCCTAAATGTGCTACAACGAAATTTTTCAACCTCGATTCAAGCATCGAAAATGTTAATTCGTTTCAGAAAGAGAAATGGCTAGACTGAAAGAACAGTCCCGTGTCGAAAGAGAACGTCGTCACTTGGAAAAAGCGACGAAAAGGAAACATGAAGCAGACCTTTACGCCAAGCGTCAAAAAATCGAGGAGACCCCTGTGGTCACCCTCTCGGACAACACTGATGAGGAAGTGGACGAAGTCTACCACCCGAACAACTATGAGAGCGACCACAGCCCCGAAAACGTGGACGCTAGTAGCAGCAGGAGTGCCTCAAGGCACAGCGAGCACAGCAATGCTACCTCCAGGTCTGCAGTCGATGAGAGTCCCTACTCAGCTAGGAGGTCAAGGACGAGGAGCAGGAGCCGTACAGGAAGCGCAAGCCGTAGCCCCAGTGGCAGTGACAAGTCGAGGTCGGCTTCTCCGAGAAGCGTAGACGATGACGAGGAAATGGAGGTGGAGGACAAGGAGAAGGAAGAGAAGAAAGATGAGGAAGTATCCAAACCGAAGGTGGATGAGAATTTGCCGCCGTATTTGCCTGCTGTACAGGTGAGGCTTTTGGTGAATAATTAATTTTGAAGTCCCTTTGACACCAAAAATTATCCTAATTGAATAATGTAGTATAGAATACGTTTCTACAGCCAAATTTATAACATGCGGGTTTCTCTTCATTGAAATGTCAGGGAAATCAGAACAGTAGCCACATTGTATCGTCTTCATTAGTATGTCGACTCATATTAGGTGCACAAATTGATGACTCATGCCGAGTATTATTCTCTCATAGATCCAACTGTATTAAACAGTAAAAGACGAGAAGGTGCCATCTAGTGAGCAGAACCCGAACTTTTAGACACCGTCAACAGGGTACTATATTACCTTCTCACGCATCTCAACTACAGAATTGGTTGATAATGAATAAAGATATTAACGATAGTGACACCTTTCAGGGCTGCAGATCCGTGGAAGAGTTCCAATGCCTGAACCGTATTGAAGAGGGTACTTACGGCGTCGTATACCGTGCGAGAGACAAAAGGACAGAAGATATCGTCGCCTTGAAGCGCCTCAAGATGGAAAAGGAAAAGGAGGGCTTCCCGATCACGTCCCTCCGCGAAATCAACACCCTGCTCAAGGGGCAGCATCCGAACATCGTCACTGTGAGAGAAATAGTCGTCGGCAGCAACATGGACAAGATCTTCATCGTCATGGACTACGTCGAGCACGATCTCAAGTCCCTCATGGAGACGATGCGTCACAAGAAGCAGCACTTCATGCCTGGTGAGATTAAGTGCCTGCTGCAGCAGCTGTTGCTGGCCGTAGCGCACCTGCACGACAACTGGATCTTGCACAGAGACTTGAAGACCTCGAACTTGCTCCTCTCACACAAGGGGATACTGAAGGTGGGGGATTTCGGCTTGGCTAGGGAATACGGATCTCCACTCAAGGCGTATACCCCGATTGTGGTTACGCTGTGGTACAGAGCACCGGAATTGCTGCTCTGTACAAAGGAATACTCCACTCCTATCGACATGTGGTCAGTCGGGTGTATTTTTGCCGAGCTGATATTGATGAACGCGCTGTTTCCGGGGAAAAGTGATGTTGATCAGCTGAACAGGATATTCAAGGTGAGTAATAGAACCAAAGTCGACCAAAGCACTTCTGGTAAGATCGGTGTTATACCGACACAGCAGTGGAGTTGGGAGAGGGAGAAGTATTCTTCTTTGCATTCTGCCAATAGTCTATTTTATTTCTTGTATTCTTTATGGTGGAAACAATGAAAAACTACATAAAAAACTTTCAGGTGATATTATTTTTTTCCAGGACTTGGGCACACCTAGCGAAAAGATCTGGCCGGGCTTTAACCAGCTGCCGGCCGTGAAAAAAGTGAAGTTCAACGACTACCCAGTTTCGAATTTGCGCGGCAAATTCAGCACTCTTAGCGAGGCCGGTTTGGGTCTCTTGCTCAAATTTCTGACGTACGATCCTGTTCAGAGGATCACGGCCGAGGAAGCGATGAAACACATCTACTTCAACGAGCCGCCAATGCCAATAGATCCGGCCATGTTCCCTACGTGGCCGGCCAAGAGCGAACTCGGACAAAAGAGGGCGCTGGCTGCCAGTCCCAAGCCTCCTTCTGGCGGTGGAGAATACAAAAAACTGGTATGTTGACGATTTTGTTTTGTCTCGTTTATGTTTTCGAATTTTTCATATGGAAAAGGACCGTATATGATAAAAATTCACTTTGCAGCACATGTATTTTCTCTGTATTGGCTCCTCTGTGAATTTGTCTTTGGTGTCACTTGTCATCTCAATTATTCATGACATTACTTCAACTAAATGGATGTAAACTTAAAATGAAATCCTCTCTTTCTTATGTTATTGGCCTTTGATTTCTAAGAACATTTGGCCAGCTCATTAGTGGGAAGCAAAATTCAAAAATCAACATCCTTTCTTCTTCTTATTTATGCTTTTATTTTTCTTCGTCATGTAGTGGCCTAAGCTACTGAGGCTATCTGGCCAAAATGTTCACTAATAGTTTAGGGGTGAAGTGATGTGACAGTAAAGTGAATCTGGGCAATATAATCCATCCCTGATTGGAAAAAATGAGAAATTCAGTGTATTCTATAATATAAATGTCAACTTTAGACACCAGTCACTCGGCCACTGTCAATAAAAGCTTGAGGTCGGAGGTTGACAGAAATGAGGTTATAGCATCAAGGTTTTGTGGACATGAATAATGAAAAAATTATATTATTTGATGAAATGTGTTGAAAGCGACTCTTTTTTATGCAGGTTTTGACAGTTGACAACTTACGCTAATGAAAAATACATACAGTAGCCAAATTTTCTTCCACAAAATCTTTGTCAATATGGTCCATAAAATGAATTTGATGAAAACGACTGTCAAAAAGTTAATAAACCTCAAAAATAGACCATATAAGCAACAGCTACCCAAGATAACTGACATCAATGTCAATTGAACAGAGTAGCCAACATAAAAAAAAACTCGTCCTCCAAATGAAATTTTTATCACATTGAGTGGAGTGAGCACAAGGGAATGAAAGGGTATAAAAAGTTAAAGAGAATTCATTTTTATTGGGTTGAAAACTTGCACTAAAATATGTTTTTTTTTGTAGGGCAGAGATATGGATGAAGATGGATTTGGGTTCCGGCTTGGGATGGGGGTTGATACCAGGAGAGGAGGAGGAGCAGGATTCAGCTTGAAATTTTAGGTTATAATATAAGGATGAATGTAAATAAGTTGAAAAATGTGAATTAAATAAGTTTTAACTAGAATTGAAGGAGTTATATTTTTAGAATTGAATAATTTTTGGGAAAGAAAGTTTTTGACTTTCTACTACTCCATCTTGATACAAAAAAAAGGATGAGGGAATCTTCCAAAGAAAGGAGGGAAGTAATCAATTTGAAAATAAGTAACTCTACACATGAATGTGTAGATGATGTGTACCAGTGAGGATGACAGTGTTCCATGTAAGTGCAATTTGTTACCATTCATTTAAAGTAGAACTCATGTGAATGATATCTGATTTTTATTCCACAACGAATGTTTGAAATACAAACTGAGTAGAGAAGTATCTTCTGTATAATTCAGTGTTCATATAAAAGTATTTGTTTTGAAAGAATTGTTTTCTTTCGTGTAATTCAATGTTTATATGAAAGTAGCTGTTTCAGGAGGGCTTTCTTCCAGTTTGAATCTGCAAGTTGCTTCTTTGAATGATATTTCTCATTTGGACAAGAGGTCCACTCACAAAAAACCCACTCTGAGGAACTCAAAATCATCAGATACACTCATTGATTTTTTATTGAAGTTGATGGGACCCTAAGATACTACCTAATAGTACTCCTAGATTGATTGAAATTGAAAGCCATATGAATAAATCGAAAAAAAAAAAACAATCGGATCACATTTTCCTAACTTTATTCAGCAACCAGATAGGTTTCACAATATTTTTGTATCCTTTGGAACGTACCATGAACGCCCCAAAGAAGAAAAAATATACACTTATGAAATAATATCAGTATGACATCACAATATGCGCGTCTTCTACATGAAATAATCACAACTCTCAGTATCCTTATTTTTTAAGTACAATTCTGCAGTGATATATCAGATTGAACACCCCGAAGTTCCGCGTTCATAGTTTTCAGTAAGGGATGACGACCACAGCCGCAGCGGTTTCTGAAATCATCCAAGTCCAGGGCCCATACCATACCCCCGCCTAGGCCCCAATCTTTCACGAGTTTCGACTGAAAAAAAAAAAAATCAGGATTGTCTGAAAAGTTTTACTCCATAAATTATTGTCAACGTCAATAACGTAGCTCATTTTTGGTCTTTTATAATACAGTCTGACCTTTATAATACAAAGGTCAGACTTATTTGCAGTTATTTGTATTTCTGTTAGGGTTGGTACCCGTTTAAAGCATTGGTCACGAGATGGCGCTGTTACTGAATAGAAAAGTTTGCTTAGTTTTGCATGGTTCATGCATTGTATAAGGATTGTTAGACAATGGTTCGTGCAAAAGTTCTAGATATTTATATTTCCTACATGTTTTCTATCGAACTTTCTCCAATAGGAGGGTTTAGTTTCGGTGGAAATCATGACAAACCATTTTCCACTCCTGAAATTCACACCATTTAATTCCGCGTAACTTGCATCGACTGAAATTTAATTTTCTACACCAGTCACGTTAGATTTGAATCCCTGGAGATTAAATTCATTTGAAAAAACTTTCTCAGGAAGTTTTTCTAACATAAATGCAGTTATTTTTTCCCCTTCAAAAATTATTTGAATTGGCTCATTACCTTTCTCCTGATTTCTGAAATGTCATCATAAGAAACCCACTGATTTCCATGAACGGCGTAAGGTCCAATTCTACCTTCTGGATCTCTAGTAACTGTCCATCCTCTACGTCTCACTCTTTCGCAAATCTGAAAATCACAAAAGTTCAGTTTAACTTAAGGGTCCTTGTTTTTCATCAATTTTTTTTTCAAACAGTGAATGTTGATAAAAATGTATATAACATAAAAGAGAATGAGATAATGAAGTTTAATTTTCTAACCTAACCTAACCCAACCTAACCTTAACTAACCTAACCTATCCTAACCTAACCTATTCTTACCTAATCTAACCTTACCTACCCTAATCAGGTGAAAAATATCAACATATATTTTTTATACTTTCAAAACACTGACATATACAGAAAAGGCATCAGAAAAGATAAGTAGACTATAGAACATCAATATAGTATACAAGATTGATAACACCCTTAGGTAGACATAAAAAACAACAAGCTGAAATGTGGCTTGTGCCCAAAAGTTTATATTGAACGAACATCTAGAAATTTCAAAACCAGAGTCTCCGAACACAAAAGTCGTTTTGAGTCGAAAAAAACCAATTCGTTCATGACTTTGACATGAACTACGACGTACTACATACAGAAAATGAATGACAAAAAAACGTAAAAACTCAAATTTCTTATTGAACGACCAAACAAGAAGTTAATTTCTCATCACTGTTGAGTTTTATTCCACCAAAAATTTACTAGAACTAGCGGAATCATTAGTAACAATAATTCACCTGATTCGTACCTGCTGGACCTGTTCTTGAAACTACCTGATTATCAATTAGTAGTCTCTATTGATCGAGGTCGATAATTTGTATGAAGTGTATTGTAAAATAGTGTAGAGCACCAGTCCAACTCAGGATGTTACTATCTAATGAACATCGTATTGGAAATAAAGTCTATAATGTGAAAAATCATAACCATTTCCACCTAAAATAATTACAGGCACGGGACTCGACGGTGAATCTTATCCTTAAGGACCACAGTGAGGTAATTTAGAACGAAGTTCACTTTAAAGAGCAAACAAGAAGAATCTTCGAACAATCGATCAAATATGGCGCATCAAAAACCGTTCTCTCAGGTCTCTAGAGACGAAAAAAAATCTCGACAGTCGTTCATAAAAAACCTGACCCTGGAAATACTTTGCCAATGCAAAAAACCCGTCAAAATGAAATATTGGTTGCCTATCCCGCAGGGCATGAGGACCATCGCTACTTATGATTAAGGACGGTAGAAAACTGTAAACAACTGAAATCGGCCTTCACTGCGGCGGATAAGTTACCGAGAAAATTCACCAGATGGCGAAACGATACTAGTTAAAATGGAAATCAATGAAATAGATGTGATTTGTCACAGTACACAGCATCCTAGTAATTATTTCTTTGTAATTTCAGTTTTTTGTTTGATAAAATTGTTATTTTCGGTTTATCTTATTAATTTTTTAATTGCTTTTTTTTCAGGGTTTTCAAATTAATTTATATTATATTAGACAATGATGTCCGAACTGATGAAATACACCACGAAACATTGTCAACCACCTTCAAACAAAAGGAAAAATCTAATTTCTCAAAGAAAAAGCATTCAGGTGGTACTTCCTGGATACACCCAAAAATAACATACTCAAATTTTACCTTATTATTGAGCAACACGCTGTATATTTTACCGGCTGAGGAGTAACGGAATTCATCCTTCCATCCAGTATTTCCTGAATCATGGCAGTATTCAGAAAAATCGTATCTAAAGAATCTGATGGGGATTGTTTAAATGGAAAACGAATGAGTTTTTAAGGAGATTGAAATGTCTCTCCCGGCCGATCAGAGCCTCATGTGAACCGGAAATAATCTCATGTAGAGGAAAAAGATGACGGCGGATCAAACGAAAAAATCTGGTCGCTTATATGGAACGTCAAAACAAGACGTGGCATTATGAACCAATTGTGGATTTCGGAGCGGAATTGAAATATCTATTCGAATGAAGAATGAATTTTACTACGATTTTTTTTGAACCAGAATGTTTTTTTTAATGAACAGTTACATGATATTCATTATTATTCAACTGACACTGTATATGAATAAATAATTGATGTAAATTCACTTTATACGTGTCAAAACTGTAGCTCAGCCACTGTTTTTTCAGGGTTTTCAAATTAATTTATATTATATTAGACAATGGAAGTTCGAACTGATGATGAAATGTAAAATTTTGTTTCAAAACGTTCAAAAATTTCGAAACGACCTAATTCCTTAGAACTATAATGCTGCCTAATGGGTCAGTTGTTCCCCATCTTCATTTTCTCCAGATTCGTAAGTATAACCAAGATCACTTGATTTTACACTTTTTATTTCGACCTCAGGTTTATTAGTTGACTTTTAAAAACTGCCTTAAAATCTTATAAATGGGGAAGGAGCCCAGTAACCCTTCCTACACCCACTTACTTCATAGAAAGCTAGGAATCCTCCAGCCCTTGTAAACTCTCCTGCTTCTCCGGGACCATAAGACTTTTCGTTGAGCCCTCTTTTGCCTCCATCCGCTAGGCTGAACGACTGACCATACAGTGGCATGCCCATCACCAGTTTCGAAGGGGGAGCCCCTTTCTCTATCCAATAGTGTATAGAGAAATTCTGTAAAAAGTAAATTCAAAACCAGTCCGATCAATTTCAGAACGATTTCACGTTTTGACGATAAAACTATTTCGGTATTGACCACTTACAGCGTTGAAGTAATCATAAGTGTCCTCCGGGTAGTAGTACAAAGGTGCTACGTGGCCAGTCTGCTTGTCCCAGTGGCCGTGGAAGTCGTACGTCATGATTGCTATCCAATCAAAGTAGCCACTGAGCACCGGAACGTCGTATCCAGCATCAATGACGGCTTTGCTCGGAGAAACAGCTGAAGATAACAATAGACGTCTAGGCCGGAATGCTTCGCTTAGTTCCCGTACTAGATCTGCAAAACCTTGCTTGTCCGAATCGGGACCTCTGTTGCAGTCGACCTGAAAGAAAATTAGCTGTTCATATGGTGTCTGTCACATCGAGCCTCCATTAGAAGTTTGAGATCAACGTGTGCAGCTATGAAAGCAGTAAAATAGTAAAAGCGTAGCCCTCATGTCGCACATTTGGTGGAACACTTACTTGCCAACATTTTGGATATTCCCAATCCAAGTCTAGACCATCAAATCCCCATTTTTCTATGAATTCCACGACGTGTTTCACAAACCTGGCTCTAGCTTGAGGATCATTGACGAGTCTGGAATATTTGTCTCCCAGTGAGTCGTTCCATCCGCCTATAGCGATCAGTACTTTGATTCCTTTGGATTTCAACTCAACAACCTTTCTGTAGAACTCTGCAAAATGAGTGTGAATGAACATTTCGAAAGAGAGAATCGGTCAAAGAATGTCGTTATTCTCTTCCAGCAAATCGAGATTTTTCCAAAGAGAATTCACTGCCAGTGTATATTTTTGTCAACCGAGGAAATGTATAAAATAATACTGACGTTTTAACAACAAGAATGTGATTACTTGGGTTTGGTTCTGTGCTCAGAGAAAGAGGGATGAGAATCCCCGGTTTCTAGAATTTTGAATCTTGTAGTTTTGCAATGAGGAATCTTCTATATATATGTCTCAAACAGATCGGTGCTGTTTGGCGAAATTATCCAGGAAAAAGGCCATCGACTGGAGTGAAACTCACCATTATCAATATCTGCCCAAGAATCATGCGGTTTTATTGTTAATGTTGTACCATCCAAAACTGCAAATCCGTAGTTGATATGCGTGCAGAGTTCTGGATCAATATCTGAGGGAAGGTATTTTCCATCGCCTTGCCTAAAAATAAAAGAATGGTCCTCAGAAACATTTCTTCTTTTTTTTTAGAAAATGAGGAACTTAACAATTTTTCCAATCATTCAATTTGTAGGCTGAATTTTGGGATCTCTGGCCTGAAATAAAACTAATGAAAACGTCAAAATAATGAAAAGCTACAATTTCTCAATACCCTCGTCCGGAATTTGATGTATAAATATTGCTAATGTATAACTGTTTTTTGTTTATCAACTTTAGAAACTGTTTGTTTGTTGTACAAAAAATATCTTGCAATGCAGCCTAATTTGACAGCTAAGAAATCATACAATACTTATCTAAACGGAGTCTAAACCTGGCTCCGCCTTCAAAAATAGATAAAATTTAAGTTTATACATAGTTTTTCTTATTCTGATTCCTCTTATTCCCCAATTTTTTCGACAGATGTCAAAGAAGTTTCAAATCGGCATTATTATTGGCATAATTCAACTTTCAAAACTGTCTTACCTGTACCAAGCCCAGTTGGTGAAGTAACAAACCACCTTGTACTCGTCCTCTTCTTGGCTGGCAGTCCCAGGATACGAAGGCGTGACCCCCGTCTCCACTGGAGGAAGGTACCCACTCTCAGTGGCAGTCTCAGGTCGTTCTTGTGCCTCGGTACTTTCTGCGGCGACATCCACAGGAGCAAGAGTACTACCGTCCGGATGGCATTGGGCATTTTCTGGCCAATCGCAGTGGTCCACGTTCCAGAAGAGTCCGCTGCCGCAAGATTGCACCTGGAGCTCGCCTTGGTTGCAGAGGTAGTACTGGTTGCAGTCGGTTTCGTGCGGCACGAAGAGGCGACCTTCACAAGGTTTCTTCTCGGGGGGGTTGTGTGACGGTTCAGTTACGGTTGGAGGATGAGTGGGTGGGATGGGGGAAAGGGTTGATGGGGATGACTCTAGGACTGGTTTTGTTGGTGGTTTCGCGCTTTGGGGTTTACCTGTGGAAAGGGAATTGATATGAAATTTCACTCACAAACAAAACCATCATCCTCAAGGTGTATTTTTTGTACCTCTCACACAAGATTACGGCCTTATGTCACTGAAAGAGTCAAACCTACTCTTGTGTGGAAAACAGTGTGTATTTGATATAATCCCAGTCATAGGAATTTCTGGTATATATTAGACGTTATAACATTCAGAAATCTCACCTAAAATGCACTTTGGTTCTGGTACAGCATACCCCCTGAGCACCCTGTTTATAGTTCTGAGCAGCGGGTATTCTTCGCAACCGCAGATATTTTTGAAATCATCCAGATCGAGAGCCCAAATCATCCCTCCTCCAAGACCCATGGCTTTGATATACTCGGATTTGTGCCTGATCATGCCTATATCATCGAAGGACACCCACTGGTCTCTCAAGTAGGCGTAGGGCCCTATCCGGCCCTTACGGTCTCTTACCAGTTTCCACCCTTTCTCGATGACGTTTCTACAAATCTAGAATCAACAATGAATCTTTGAAATACAAAGGTGTTTGGAGTAACCGAAGACTTGGTCCTCTGTTTTTTCATTGAGGCATAACACCTACATGAAAGTGTCAACGCCATCTTACGGTAATATCTTGAATCAATGCTCACCTCGTAGTAGGCCAAGAATCCTCTAGCTCTTGTTTCTTCCCCAGCTTCACCTCCTCCATATGTGGCAACATTCAAACCGTTCTTGTCGTTGTCAGCCAATGAGAAAGACTGTCCGTACATCGGCATACCCATGACAAGCTTTCGTCTATCAGCGCCTTTTTCTATCCAGTAATGAATCGTGAAGTTCTGAAAGAATAGCTCTTGAAATGCAGGAATAAGAACGATGATGACTGAGGGCTTTCCCAAATAAATAAATACCGTACCGTGTTGAAGGTATCGTCAATATCCTCTGGGTGTTCGTACATGGGCGCTACGTGTCCCGTAATTTTGTCCCATTGTCCATGGTAGTCGTAACACATCACAGCTATCCAGTCCAGGTATTTGGATAGAACTGGAACGTCGTAGCCAGCGTCTATGACTCGCCTGCTTGGAGAAACCGCCGACGAGAGTAGCCAGCCTTTAGGTTGGAATGCTGCATGTAGTTCCTTCACAAACTCTGCGAAGGCTGGTTTGTCTGAGGCGGGACCCCTGCCGCAGTCGACCTGGAAGCAAAAATGTTGGATAACAGGTTAGATTTTGGTAGGTTGTGTTCAAAGTAATTCCAGCTTTTCAACGAAACTGTTCGGTGAATTATTTTCCAGTTCAGAAGATTCAGCAGCCAGAAATATGACATTTCCCTTGCAGAGAAAGCATTCAGTGTTTATTTGGCAAAACCTTACAAAACCTTAAGCTATGCCAATGCCAGATTCTGGTCCGATGAAAACGCTTGCAGATCTGCTCATAGTATTTTTTCTTCCGAAGAATCTAGACGTTTCTACTCGGAATTAGAAGTTCATGAGGTGAATGGAGGTATTAAGTTAGAGGTTTATTTCATCAGTTCGCACTTCCATTGTCTAATATAATATAAATTGATTTGATAACCCTGAAAAAAATAAAAAAAATTATTCGGTATCGTTTGTTCTATCTTTCTGGTCCCCATCTTCGGATAGCTTATTCTGTATGATTTGAAGTGCTTCTTCGACAGGAACATTGGTGTAGATGCTGTGTACGAAACTGCTACTTCCAACAGAAGGACCAATTCTTTACGCAAGATGAGGGACTGCCAATGGGATCGCCACTTTATCCCACCAATTTATATATGGAGTGGTTTGAAACTTTGGCCAATGGAGAAGGAAATCCACAACGAATTGGCATTCTTAGACGTATTGGTGAAGAGGACCGACACTAAATGGGAAACAGCTGTTTATCGAAAACTCACTCACACAGGACAGTATCTAAACCAGAAATCCAGTCACCACCAATCGACCAAGAGAGGAATCATCAAGACTCTACGAGACCGTGCTTTTGGGCTCTGTAATACAAAGGAAGGTCTCTAAAAGGAACTAGGCATCATCAAAAATGACCTACAACGGAATGGTTACTCCAGATTGATGGTAGAACAGGCCTTGGCTGAAAGACAGCAACAGCTCCACAAGGAAGAGAAGCCGCCACAACCAGTACTTGTACTTCCCTACATCAGAGGATTATCGGAAAGGATAAGATGGATTAGGTCCAAGTACAACATCAGGACTTGCTTCAGATCTAGGAACACTAACCGTAGCAGCCTTACAAAAACCAGGCCACCAAACGCGGACTGCGATTCCAAGAATTGCATTAACCGGATACCCTGCCAGTGCGGAGAATCATACATCGGTGAAATTAAGAGGCCATTGAAAGTTCGCATTGCTGAGCAGAAGAAACACACACAGCGAGGAGAAACCAGCAAATCCGGAAGAGCAGAGCATGTTTGGACTCATCAACATAACATCAAGTGGTCCCAAGCTGAGATCATCCATTGGGAGGAACACTGGTTTAGGGGGAAGTTCAAAGAAGCCGCATATATGTTGTCCAACAACGCATTTAGTCAAGCTAGCGTAGAGATACGTAACATATGGAAACCTCTAATCAAGCGAAAGACGACCAACTCCCGCCAAAACCAATGAAGCGGAAAGAGGGAAGAGGGGATAGGTGAAAGCACTCGAATGACCTATAAATAGTCAGATATCGGAGAAATAAGTCCAGTTATCACCCGAAGATGATTGTGGATACTAACAATCAAAACGTTGTGACAGAACTTGGTTTGAAATCTCTTAATTTTTAATTTTTTCAATTTTTTCAGCTTCTATTAATATTTCAATTTCTATTTGTTTGGTTGTTGTTATTTCTATGTAATTTCAGTTTTTTGTTTAATAAAATTGTTATTTTCGGTCAATCTTTCGATTTATTATTATATCAGACAATGGAAGTCCGAACTGATGAAATACACCACGAAACATTGTCAACCACCTTCAAACAAAGTAAGAGGTTGTCTCCAGACTGTTGTGACTTCCAGTGTCAATTAATAGTCTGATACGCTTTTCATAAGCAATAGTTATTCATTAACGGGAATTAAAAAACGTACATATGAAGAGGAACCAAACATCATATCATAACAAGTGAAAGATAAGAAAAGAAAACAACGTTCATCAACAATTAATGAACAACAAGGAGATTTGGTCTAAGTTTGATCAGGCTTGGCAAGCAAACAGGCTTCTGGAGAATTTACAACATTTTTGAAGAGAAAAAATTGTGTAGTTATAGCAGATAGAAACGAAAACAAGGTAACGGAAAACAAGATATGGTTTTCTGACGGAATAACTTTCTAAAATCGATACGACAAAAAGTACATCCAAAAAATATATTGTTCAATCAGTGATCTTTTGGGCAGAAAAACTACTCACCTGCCAACACTTGGGATACTCCCAATCCAAATCCAAACCATCGAAATTGTGTTCTGTTATGAAATCGACAACGTGGGCTATGAACCTCCTTCTAGCAGAAGGACTGTTGACCAGTTTCGAATATTTATCTCCAGCGGAGTCGTTCCAACCACCAATTGCGATTAACACTTTGATTCCTTTAGCTCTGAGCGCTGTTACCTTCTCGTAAAACTCTGAAATCATCTCAGATATTTTCTATGAACAAAAGATATTCGAGTGTACTTACTGTTATCAAAATCAGCCCAGGTGTCATGTGGCTTGATGACGAGTTGATCCCCATTCAGAACAGCGAAGCCGTATACAATATGCGTGCACAGATCAGGGTCAATATCCGATGGCACATACTTCCCGACGCCTTGTCTATACCAAGCCCAGTTGGTGAAGTAGCAAACAACCTTGAACTCTGAGCTGCGGTCCACCATACCGGTTGGTTCTCCTTCTAGTACCGGCTCAGGTTCTTCAATTTCGGGACGCAAAGGCTCAGCCGGTTCCACAGGCTTGGTGGGCTCTTCTATGGGCTCCTGTTGACCGCTTCCCGGGTCCGCAAGGACGTTCCTGATGATCGTAAGCAAGGGGTGTCTACCTTCCCCGCATCTGTTTTTGAAATCGTCCAAATCCAACGCCCAGATCATTCCACCACCGATGTCCATCTTCCTGATGTACTCTGACTTCTTCCGGATCATCTCCTTGTCGTCGAAAGACACCCATTGGTTTCCTTTGTACGCGTAAGGACCTATAGCTCCCAGCGGATCTTGTACGACCGTCCACCCTTTGTTTTTGATGTTGTCGCAGATTTCGTAGTAGGAGAGGAAACCCGCTGCTCGGGTGTATTCACCAGCTTCACCAGGACCTGGAGCATTGGCGTAGAGGCCGTTCTCCGATTCCTTTTCCAGCCGGAAGGACTGACCGTAGAGGGGCATGCCCATTACGATTTTGCGTCTAGGGGTGCCTTGCGATATCCAGTAGTTGATGGAAAAGTTCTGAAAGACAAAGTAGTAACAAACACAAATAAGGAAGAATACAGTTAGTAGAAGAGATAAAATATTACTTACCGCATTGAAAAACGTCACTTCATCCTGAGGATGGTAGTATAGAGGAGCAACATGGCCAGTTTTCTTATCCCACTGACCGTGGAAGTCGTACGTCATGACAGCAATCCAGTCGAGATTCTTGGCGAGAACCGGAACGTCATATCCAGCATCAATAACCGTCTTGCTTGGAGAAACCGCGGAAGACAACAGATATCCCCTTGGTCTGAACGCTTCTTTGAGTTCAGTGACGAAATCTGAGAAAGCTTGCTTATCGGAATCGGGCCCTTTGTTGCAGTCAACCTAGAAATTAATCGAGGGGTGCCACAAGGGTCAGCACTGGGGCCACTGATCAATTTTTTCAATAATAATCACCTGCCAACACTTGGGGTATTCCCAGTCCAAGTCCAGCCCGTCAAAGTTGTATTTATCCAAGAATTTGAGGACGTGTTCGATGAATCTTCGCCGTGCAGCAGGGTTGTTGACAAGCTTGGAGTATTTATCTCCGAGGGAGTCGTTCCAACCGCCTATAGCTATCGATACTTTGATTCCTTTGGACTTGAAGTCGGTGACTCGTTTGTAGAATTCTGAGAAAAAAATATTAATACCGTAGAAAAATTGTGACGTTTACGTTAATTAAATTTTAGTTTGCAATAACACAAGAACTATGTACCTAGAAGTTGAGGAGCTTAGAAGTTTCGAAACAGGTAATTTTTCATGTGTAAATACTACGGTCAGACGTAAACCTAATAGTGGTTGTTTCAATTTTCATCTCAAAATCATTCAAAACTATTGTAACGGATCTGAAGCCGTCCCTGATCGATATCTCAGCCAGCGAATAAACACATGACATCACCGCGAAAGAATGCAGTCTGACTCGCCGGGAAAATACTAGGCGAGTACAGCTACCACTAGAGAAATCTAGAACGATCGTTACCGTCCAGAGATGTCAGTCTGAATTCAGAAAGCGAATCGAGCGGTTAAACAAGGAATTCAAACAGTGAAGATAAATTAAGCGTTAGTTGCTAAGTATTGAATATAAATTAGTTTGTGATAGTGAAATACTGTTAAAAATGAATTTGTTTAAAACAGTAAATTCTTTAATTCGTTACACTATCATTGACATTCCTTGAACAGATCAAAGATGTCTACAAAATTGGTCGTATGAAATATTTTTGAAATAAAAGAATAGAATAGTGAAATCCCATACCTGACACCATATTTTCAATTTAGACATTTCTGACTGAAAACGGAGTAATATCTTTGTTGAATTTGAATCCACTCAACAATTTTTTTTCATAAACAGATAAAAAATTGAAAAACCCTTCATGATTGACGTGGCCACTTACGGTTATCAAAATCCGCCCAAGAGTCATGCGCCTTGATGATGTAGTTCGAGTAGTCCAAAACGGCGAACCCATAAACGACGTGAGTACACAAGTTCTCATCAATATCCTCTGGTAAATACTTTCCAGCACCTTTTCTATACCAAGCCCAGTTGGTGAAGTAGCAGACAACCTTGAAGTATCCCGAGAAGGGCTTCAGAGGTTCTGAGAGCGGTGGCTTCTCAGACGTAGGCGGAATTGGCGGGTGCCATTCCCAGTTATTTCCCGAAGATTCGGTGGTGCTCGGGGGTTTCCATTCAGGGTACGACGTAGTAGGGGGTTCCCAGGGAGCGGACACCGGCCCGCTGGGAGGCTCTGGCTTGACTTCGATCTCAACTATGCTGTTGTCCGTCTCTGTTTCTTCAGAACATCTAGCTGCTTTGGGCCAGTCGCAGATTTTCTTCTCCTGCAAAAGATTATTATTGTGGAATGAAGAACAGTACGAAATGGGTGGATTGAATCATTGGAAAGTCGGTTTTACATACATTGTTCCAGTGTAACCCAGGCGCACATTGCCTTATCTCGTATTTGCCCCATTGGCAGTGCATATACTGTCCACAATCTCCTGGCAATGGTGCAAACGTGTTTCCTTCGCACGATGAGTAGGGCTGTGGACCTGCAATTCATGATTTTATCATTATTATCTCCATTGACAAAACAAAGAAGGTACGCAAAAGCCATTGTTGGAAATGGAACTGTGACTGTCAGCCGTCATAGCCATCATTAAAATATACAGGGTGTAACTAAATATGTGTTAAACATTCAAGGAGGCGATTCCTCATCGAAAAAAAGATAGGATCTTTCATATAAAGAAATTTCATTGGAGCATTCCTTGTAAAGATACATCCCCTTAAAGGGGGTACAAAAAATTTGTTTAACAATTTTTTTCACAAGCACTAAAAAAGTTACAATATTAAAATTAAGCTGACGATTTGCACTACCAAAAAGACACTTAGCCAATAATTTATTTAGTTCACCCCATGGTTGTAAGGGGTGGAAAACGCAACCCCTAAAATTTATTTTCAATGTAACTTTTTGTCTTATTATTTGTTTACCATTTGAAAATTTATTTCCGATAGCCTGTTCCATTCTGAACAAAAAATGTCTCTTGGGTTTTTTGTCCAAAATAAACCAGTTCGCAGCAAAAAATTATTTTAGGAATTTACTTACGGTCTCCAATATATCTATTGTGGATAGCAGTAAACCTCTCAGCCATCTTCCTTCTTCCGGTGCACATCACTTTGAAGCTCCAATCGCATATTCTTGTCTGCGCATTGAAACTGAGCCCAGGTGCGCATTTCTGAACTATCAGTTGACCGTCAAAGCATACGTAGAAAGAGCTGCATTCACCATGTGGGTAATACGCTCCCGTAGTACATTCCTGCTCCAAAGGTTGAGAAACGTACCCGGAGCTAGAGACAGTGGTTGTGCGTGTCGTTACAGTGGTGGTTCTTCTTGTCGTTGTCCTGGTCGGACGAGTTGGCCAGGTGTTGGTGTACCTCATCGTGGTGGTTTGCCATGTAGATGGTTGGGGAAGAGGCATTTTCATGGGACGCATCTGTTGGGCAGCTGAAGAGAGAGAAATCATTGAATTTGAAATGAGAATATAGACTTTTACGGCCAGAGACATGATAATAGAGAACTGAATCCAGGCTGATAGGCCCTGGTAGAATGGAACTTGTACGAGTAGTACTGTGATTTTGTGTGTCAACTGGCAGTCTTCTACACTATGCATGAGACTATTATTGGCCTCTCTCCCCAGAAATATGTCAGGAAGACGATTTCCAAAGCTGCTGACGATATGTTGCAGATGATATCGGAGACAGCCAGGCAAAACTAAAGTTTATGCTGGTAGTATCAACACAAACGTCCATCACAGTTGCATCAGTGAGATAGAAGAAAAATGGAATCGTTCTAGAACAAATAGGAAATAGAATCTTTATACTTACGTTTCACAGGTTTGCACTTTGCTTCTGTCGGCCAATCGCAAACCCTTCTGTTCTTGTTCCAATGTAATCCACCTGCGCAGTACTGCTTTTGCAGCTCGCCTGAAACGCATCGATAGAAAGCGTTACAGTTCGCTGGGTCTGGTAAATACTCCCCTGGAGTGCACTTTTTCGTGGGGACGTCGACTTCTGGCATTATAACTGCTGGAGTGGGAATGGTAGTTGGCTTCTCTGTTACTGAGGAAGGTGTAGAAGTTGGCCTGAAGAAGAAATGTACATTGAAGTGTGAAAAAAGCATACAGTTGTCGACAAAAGCTTATGTTGAGGAATGAGGAATTGGCGCAGTCAGTATGATCCAATTCACCTTGCAACATCATCATTTCAGTACTGTAGTTACCTTTTGGTCTTCCGCTACTTATATCGCGATTTGAGTTAAGGAAATGACTGACTCAGGATGCGATCTCAATGAAAGCTTATATTTGTTCGTTAGTTGTACGATTTTTGAAATTACTAATATTGAGATGACAACTGTTAGGAGTACTCACTTTCTTGTTGTTGATTTGGTAGTAGCCCACCAAGGAGTGGTGGTGATAGGCTTCTTAGACGGTGTCGTAGATGGCTTTGAAGAAGACGTTTCTGTCCACCAACTGATGGTGGTAGGACTAGGCTTAGTCGTGGACTTCACAGTAGACGTCCACCAGTTAACTGTGCTGGAACTGGGCTTTGTAGGAGGTTTCGTAGAAGGCTTGGAAGAAGAGGTATCCGTCCACCAATTGGTTGTCGAAGGAGTAGAAGGTTTCGTCGGAGGTTTCACAGAAGAAGTCTCAGTCCACCAATTGGTAGTGGTAGGCTTCTTCGTTGGCTTGGTAGTCGTGCTCTCCGGTACCCACCAAACAGTAGAGGTAGGAGCCTTGGTGCTGGTTGTCGTTGGATTCGTCCACCAGGTCACTGCTGCGCCTGAGTCGGAGCCTGTGGTAGCCTGAAGTGGAGGAGGAGTAACAGGTTGTTCCGGCTTCGTGCAGTCTCCTTGAACTTGTTTATCGGAGATGAGACCGAATTCACGTGCAATAGTACTGAGGAGGGGGAAAACTCCACCGCAACAGCGGTTGGTGAAGTCGTCCAAGTCGATGGTCCACGCCACAGCACCTCCGAAGCCTTTGGATTTGATGTACGAAGCCTATAAAAATAATAAAAGATACTTCGATACACACCAGTATCATATGGTATAAGATAAGTTGTCTGTGATTGGATTCTGTCTCATTTGAGGAAGCTATCACTGAGATGTATCACTCTCAATATATGGAAGTGGTGTACCACAAGGATCTGTATTAGTTCTGTATTTCAATGAAATTATTATCTTTATGAGTGACTCTTTTTACACCATGTATGCGGGCGACTCATCATTGCTGGTGTACTTATCAAGATATTTTTTAAACGAGGTGAGGAAAATAACATCTTTGATGACAAACCCACTCGGTACCACTATATATTCCTTCAAATACATACTTACCTTCTTTTTAACAGAGTCCACATCCTCGTATCCAACCCATTGGTCGCTTCCATAGGCAAAAGGACCAGCCGCTGGACTGTTCTTGTTGACGATCCATTTCTGATTCTTCACTCTGTTGCAGATTTCGAAATAAGCCAACATTCCTGGCTGTTTGGTGTACTCCCCTGCCTCTCCAGGTCCTGTAGCAGAAGTTCCAACACTGAAAGTGCTCTTTTTCGACAGCGAGAAGCTTTGTCCGTAGAAGGGAATACCCAGTAGAAGTTTTTCGCGTGGGGCTCCTGAAGAGACCAAGTACTCCATGGTGAAGTTCTGGAAATATGGCTCAAAATGAATGTGGATTACCTTTAAATCTATCTATTTGTCTGTCTATTTGTCCGTCCGTCCCTCCGTCTATCTATCTACCTACTTATTATGGTTTTAGTTTTTTGTTCACTTACCGCATTGTACTGGGGGTACTTATCTTCGGGGCTACTATACAGAGGACTGACATGTCCCGTTTGGCGTTCCCAGGCTCCATGGTAGTCGTAGGTCATAACAGACATAAAGTCCAGACTCTGGCCAAGAGCGGGAAGGTCATAGGCTACGTCGATAACTTCTTTGTAGCCTGAGATAGCAGCTGCTAAGACTAGCGGGGGATTTTCCTTGTCGAATTCTTTTTTCAGTTCCTACAATAATAATGAGTAATAGTCACCAATGGAGATAGTTTCTTCAACAAATTGGCAATTTTGAAACATTTTTAGAATTTGACAAATATCTAGCTACTTGTCATGTTAATTGTTATTTGATTGTTATTTTTGATTAGGGACTAAAATCCCAGGTACCTGCAAGAGTTTCGAAAAATTAGGTTTATCCGAGGAAGGTCCTCTTTTACAGTCACTCTGCCAGCAGGTGGGGTAGTTCCAATCGAAGTGAAGACCTCTGAAGCCATGTTTGCGTAGGAAACTGACTGCTCCAACGACGAAACGTCGTCTGGCAGTTCCGTCGCTAACGAGTCTGGAATACTTGTTGCCAGATGAGTCGGTCCAACCGCCCAGAGAAAGAAGCACAGTCGTATCTTTCAGAGACGTAATCCTATCGTATAGATCTGTAAACATATCAACATATTGAAAAAATGAATATTTTGAAATAAAATTCGAAACGTCTCACACAACCTCCTACACAACCAGTAGGAACTAGTAAATTTCTGCCGGAAAACAGTTACTTTCCTGGCTGATACCATGATGGACATTGAAATATATCCTTCATACTTTTTTCCTTCACAAATGCTTTTGGTTCATATAGTATACAGGGTGTCCCTGGACTTCCTCTTTTCCTCTCGGGAATCTTAGATGGGGTCAAAATATCACCAGTACTTCATATAACTTTTTTTCCTAAAAGTCTTCGTAACCAAGTTACGGGCCCTCGAAGTTACAAAATGAAAAATGTTTTTTCTTTGATACTTTTCAAGTGAATATTCAAAATCATCCAAATTTTGGT